GCTCCTAGACAAATCCCCCCCAAACCTCCACTCTTAGATGCAGCCCAAGCCTTTCTGTCTTTGCAGAGAACTTCTCTGGGATCTACTGCAGTCTTCTGCCTTTGGGATGCTGGTCAGCTGACAGCCGGAGAGTGGTCTTTGACTCAGCACAGCGCAGCCGGCAGGTAATGTCAATGTCAACATTTGTCCTGTGGTTGTCTGCCAATGAGTCTAGGACCTGGGGCAGAGTGTGTATGTGTGCCTAAAGGAATGCCTAGCCCCAAAGTCTTACTGAGCCCTTCACGCCTTTACAGCCTTCTGCTGGACTTCCTTTTCCTTGACCAAATGTCATAGTGTCTCACAGCAGGGTCCTAGGTCTTTTTCTAGGTGGAGAGCCTGGGGCTGACTCTGAGATGGGTCCCTAAACACTGTACCCCAGGTGGTAGAGACTGGATGTGTTCTTCTTGAAGGATCAGTGAAGGTACCCATAGTGTGTCATGGTCCCTTGGGTATGATGTCATTTGTTCTCACACCCTCAAGTGGGGCTCAGTGGTATTTCTGCACCTTGCCTGGGAATGTCCAGGAAGCTGTGAAGGAACTGAGATTTGAGTCTGGATCCAGGCTACTCCCTGGTGCAGAGAGTAGGGTGCAGAGAGTAGAGTAGCATCACTATCGGCCAAAGTGTCCTAAGAGAGTAGAAAGAAAGCAGGGACGGGACCCATAGGGCTGTTGGATATGGCGCCGCATGTGGTCTTTCCTCTGTTCAAGGACCTGTTTGCTGTGGACACTCAGACGGGCAGTGTTACCTCCCTGACAGCTGGTGAGCAGAACTTGTGCAGTAGGAGTGATGGCGGGGTGGTGGATAGGCAGCTAGGTTGGGAGTGGCGCTGCTTGACATGGGGCAGTGGTGTCCTCAAGTCAGTCAGTCAGTCTGTCTGTCTGTCCTTTTTTGGTTTTTTTTGAGACAGGGTTTCTCTGTGGCTTTGGAGGCTTTCCTGGAACTTGTTCTGTAGACCAGGTTGGCCTCGAACTCACAGAGATCCGTCTGCTTCTGCCTCCGGAGTGCTGGGACTAAATGTGTGCATCACCAATGCCCAGCGCCCTCAAGTTATTAACATAGTCCGTTCCACGGCCTCTAGGATCTGGGCAGCGCACTACCTCCTTGTCACTGTCCTTTTGCATCTGCCTCCATGTGCCCCGGCTCCAGAGCCCCACCCCTACCCTAAGGTCTGCAGGCCTTTCTTGCTACGCTGTCAGTCATCCACCTCCCTTCCCAAACCTTGGAGAAGCCTTTGTTGGATTGATTCCCTAGCTTTCCCACTCTTGAGCCTGTTTTCTGCCCCTGAAATAGCCTTTGAGTTCTCCACTTTATATACTCCTCCAGAAACATGCTATCTTAGTTATGGTTTCTATTGCTGTGAACAGTCACGTGATCATGGCAACTCTTAATGAGAAAACATTTAACTGGAGCTGGCTTACAGTTTCAGTCCATTATCAACCTGGTGGGAAGCAAGGCAACATTCAAACAGACATGGTGTTAGAGAAGGAGCCAGAGTTCTACATCTGGACTGGCAGGCAGCAGGAAGAGAGACACTGGGCCTGGCTTGAGATTCTGAAACCTGAAAGCCCACCCCCAGTGACGTATTTCCTCCAGCAAGGCCACACCTCTTAATAGTGTAAACCTATGAGGACCATTTTCATTCAAAGCACCATAGATACCAAGGTTTTGTCTAATTCTATATCTCTAGGTTGGGACATAGCTCATTGCTAGCATGTTTGTCTTGCATACACGAGGCTTAATGCACATAAGTAAATAAGCGAATAAATAAACCTTAGTCCCCACTCTCCGGTCTCCTTTCCTTGACCCTGTTTTTTGGGCTAGGCTGACATCCTTTTACACTGGTTATTGGAGTAGGTAGAGTACCTCAGTAGCTTTCTGTGTCCATAGGTCTGGCAGTTCCTGAGCACAGCCAGTGTCTGTCAGATAAACAAGGAATTGAACGGGAGGCTTACCCAGGGCTGTGCATTTAGGTGTTGTTAAGAGGTGCCTCTGAGGGTTGAAGATACAAAAAGTGGTGGCCTCCTCCAGACACTACCATCTGCTTCCTCTAGGGGGCTCAGGTGGAAGCTGGAAGTTGCTTACAATTGACCAAGACCTTATGGTGGCCCAGTTCTCCACACCCAACCTGCCCCCGAGCCTGGTGAGTATTGCTGAGTCCCAAGGTAGAAGGCAGGAGTTACAAGCTACCAAGCCATAGAACTAAGCCCAACGGCTAGCCATGGCTGGTCAACATGTAGAAGAACAGAGACTTGGATCCAGCCTAGTCCTGTGGTTCACTGAGCATGGCACTTGTGAGTAGGGGCTAGCATTTGTGTTGTCTTGAACAATGTGCCCAGTCCTGGTATTAGAGTACAGGGAGACAGAAGAACCTAGAAACCAAGAAATGTGGTTGTGGTAGGGAGTGGTTCATATGTGGATGCATATTGTCATATCCCACTCAAGAATCTATGCTGTGCCCATTAGAGATGGGTTTCTAAGAGCTGGCCACCTGTGACACTTTCCTTCCCCTTGGCAGAAAGTTGGGTTCCTGCCTCCTGCTGGGAAGGAACAGTCCGTGTTGTGGGTGTCCCTGGAGGAGGCTGAACCCATTCCTGACATCCACTGGGGCGTCCGTGTGCTACATCCACCTCCAGACCAAGAGAATGTACAATATGGTGAGCCGGGCCAAGAGCAGATGAAGACCTTCTCCTGATCCCCAGCACACAGCATGTGTGGCGACCCTTCCAAGCTCACACTTCGGGGTTGCTGGTGTTTCTGTTCTTATGGTCATGGAGAGTAGCATCCAGAAATCTGAGTAACTGCTGTGGTTATCAGCTTCAGGCCCTGCCAGGGCATATCCTCTGTGTTGAGGAAACTAAGGCCCAATGAAAATAGCTCACACACAGGCTTGTGTGACTATTCCAGAATGCTGTCTTTTCAGACATTAGGCTCTCAGACTAGGCAAAAAGTGCACAAACCTTAGGGGGTCCATGTGTCATGGCGTGAGTCTGTTTGTCATGATCAGACTGATGCCATAGCCCCTGATGGGGCCTTGGCTGGGGAAGCCTCGTGAAGTAGGCTGGTTTTGCTGATTACTGCCTTCTCTCTGCAGCTGACCTTGACTTTGAAGCAATCCTGCTACAGCCCAGCAATCCTCCAGATAAGACCCAGGTGCCCATGGTAGTCATGCCCCACGGTAGGTATCTACCTAAGAGTGCTCGCTTTCCTATCACCTCTGCTAGCTGGCCCATTCATCCTCTTCTTCCTGTCTGCAGGGGGACCCCATTCATCCTTTGTCACTGCCTGGATGCTGTTCCCAGCCATGCTTTGCAAGATGGGCTTTGCAGTGTTACTAGGTAAGAAAGGGTAGCAACCTCATTTCTCTTAACTGTTTCCCCTTGACAGCCTGTGATGCAGCTGGTCCTAGGACCTGCTTCACAGAGGGCTGAGAATACTATCTTGTCTCCTACTTTTAGTGAACTATCGTGGCTCCACTGGCTTTGGCCAAGACAGCATCCTTTCTCTCCCAGGCAATGTGGGCCACCAGGATGTGAAGGATGTCCAGGTAGCAGGGTGTTGGGGCTCCTGGACAGGGAGGTGGATTCATGGCTCTGTTCAGCTGACAGGAAGAAGCTAGCTGCAGCACGTTCTTCCCACCCTTTAGTTTGCAGTGGAGCAGGTGCTCCAGGAGGAACGCTTTGATGCAAGCCGTGTAGCTCTGATGGGTGGTTCCCATGGTGGGTTCCTCTCCTGCCACCTGATTGGACAGTACCCAGAGACATACAGTGCCTGTATAGCTCGTAACCCTGTGATCAATATTGCCTCCATGATGGGCTCCACTGATATCCCTGATTGGTGAGTGTGCATCAGAGGTCCTTTGTCCTTCCTTCCACCCCAGATTCCCATGGAGATCATCAGCTTGGTCTTTTATAGGTGTGTGGTGGAGGCTGGCTTCCGTTATAGCAGTGACTGCCTGCCAGACCTGAATGTGTGGGAGGAGATGCTAGATAAATCACCCATCAAGTATATCCCTCAGGTACCCAGGGATCCTTGTGTGTGTGCCACCCATCCATTCAGAATCCAGAGCTCAGCTCACCACAGCTCCTTGTTCCCCATATACCTAGGTAAAGACACCAGTGTTACTGATGCTGGGCCAGGAGGACCGGCGTGTACCATTCAAGCAGGGTATGGAGTATTACCGTGCCCTCAAGGCCCGGAATGTGCCTGTTCGGTGAGTGTCAGAGGATAGTCCTGGCAGCTATGGCAGGTAAGCAGGACAGGAACCACCAACCTCATGTGTTGCTGCTCACACAGGCTCCTGCTCTATCCCAAAAGCACCCACGCGCTGTCAGAGGTGGAGGTGGAGTCAGACAGCTTCATGAATACTGTGCTTTGGCTGCGCACACACTTGGGCAGCTGAAGCCCTACCATTCTGCGTGAACTGGTCAGTCCATCTCACACTTTGCTTTTGGTAAGCGCCAGGATCTGGCAGAATAGCCTAGAGGCTTCCTGGGCTCTGGACTCTGGATTGAGTGGACAAAGGAACAAGGACTACGTAGTCATAATAAATGAAGACACAGAGCCTGGTTTGTGCTGGTACTTTGTACCAAGCCATCCTCAACCCCAGATCCCATCCTGGAGTTCAGAAACCCTTGGCCTTGGGTTTGATATCCACAGTGGATTCATCTCTGTCATCTGACAGAGAGGAGCCATGAGTCACTCTACCCCAACTGGGACTGGTGCAGACCAAGATAGCTCTTTCTGCTCCAGCCCTGTCTGTTGGAAAATGTTCTGCACTACCCTTGCATTCCCAGAAGTGCCTCTGGAAGATGAGTGACAGCATACCCATCCACAGTACATACATTTAAAGTTGTTCCAGGGTCAGAACACCTGGCCAAGTGTGTACTGGTCTTAAACCACCACACCTCCTATAGGGAGTCAGCAGCTCAGCCCCTAGAAGCAGAGACTGAGAAGTACTCTCTATAGAAAGAAAGTTTGCTTTATATTTGAGAAGTCTTGTCATCTCCAAGGGATCAAAACCAGGCCTACTCCAGCTGCATGACCTTGTTAATCCAGTCCACAAACACAGACACACGTGTGAAGATAGCTGGCCAGCGGGGCCGTGCACATACTCTGTTGGGGACTATAAGTCCCTCTAGGACCCAGCAATCATGGGCATAGCAGGCAAGTGGTCCCCCGTAGTCACCCTGGCAGGTGGGAGAACTGGTGAAGGCTCTGGACCTTGGCAGTGATTAACCTCCTGCAACCCTCACCCCCTTGCTGTCAAATAGTATAATTCCAGCTCCCAAGCCCTTCCCTGACTGGCCCAAGAGCTCTACCACTGACCTCGCAAGCCCCTGTAGGGACCAGCAATCCCTCAGTGCACATCTCACTCTCTTGCACATGTCCTCGGTGCTTCACATTACATTCCTGATTGGAGATGACCTTCATGGAGGCCACATGCAGGACTGTGTTATTGCTTGTACCTGGAGTGAGGAGAATAAGGCGAGGACCCTTGACTCAAATCCAGCGCTGGGCTGCCCAACCTGCAACAACCCATGTCTATGCACTGTGCTCTTACCTGTGGGTTCACCCCAGCCTGCAATCTCACACTTGGTCCCTGGAGGTACCACGTACTGCTCGGGAGGCAGGCAAATCCGGGCCACGTGATGGTTCAAGATCACAGGTCTTTAGGAGGAACGGGGTTATTCAGAACCTATGGCCACAGGGCCAGCCCCAGCTCACACCCTCTCAACTTGTCCTCATACCTCTCCAGCTTGAGCAGAACAAGTTGGGAGCCTGCAGGTCCACACACTGCCTTGGCCACTGAGACCCTCTGCAGGTTTGCCTCTCCAGGCTGTGGGTTCTGGTTGATTGTACCCAACCATACCTCATATCCTGTGAGAGGTTCGTGGCTGGGAGAAAGAGACTGCTAAGCTGACTCCTAGTCAGCTGCCCAGTTTGTTTTGCCTGTTGGCTTTCCTAGGGAAAGTAGCTGGGGTGGTGGGGGCAATGGCAGAGAGAGGTAGGATGAAGGTGAGGCGGGAGACCAGGTCCCTAAACCCAAGGGAGGCTCACCACGACCAGACGCATTGCCGGGCAGTCAGTACCCACTGCTCCTTCACTAGGGACCCTCCACAGAAATGTTGGCCCTGTCTGGAGGAGTAGATTAGGAGAAGCAGCAGTGAGTCCTGGGACACACGCTAGCCCCGCCATTTTGGCAAGGACCTCTGGGTACAGGGCCAGGCGTCCATCCTCTACTAGCACAACCTCGGAGTTTACAGATAAGCACTTAGGCCTCACCGGTTACGCAAGCTGACTGTCCATGGTGAGCTCCCAGGATGGCCTCCCATCACACGAAGTTTGTTTCTCTTGTCAACTCTCTTGCCACACTTTTCAAATTGTACCTGGTCTGGGGGGGGGGGCAGGATGAAATCTTCAGTGAGGGTCAGGGTCAAAGAAGCTGTACCCACAACTGGCCCAGGCCTGTACCTGGGGGGTCCAGGATGGATGGCGGCTGGTCATCATCTATAAGACCAAGTTCATTCAGGTTAAAGGTGCCAGTCTTTGGAGGTGACTTCTGAAGCCCAGCCAAGGGGACGGACGAGTTCAGCACTCACCACAGCGTTGTAGGGCACAGTAGTCAAACAGGGTCGCTGGATCCAAAGTGTAACACCAGGGCCCATGGCTATCCCCATCTGGGTTCCGGCAGAAGTTTGCCTCCAGCCCGGCCTGTGGTGCTGAGGTGGGTGTATATCTAGGGGGTGACCCATAGCCGACCAGTCAGATCCTCTTCAGGATCGCATACAAGGAGCCAAGGCTTTTTGCCCTCCAGTTAGAACCCAATCTGGGCTGTGGTGATACACTCACTGCGGCTTGTGTGGTGTCACCGCAGACCAGTGTTGGCACTGGACACCCTTGCGGGTCTTACTGACCAAGCCTCGATACTGTTCACCTGAACCGTGGTAGCAGCCTGCAGTGGGCGGGCAAGGACGGTGATCAGCCCCAGGGTCGGTTCCTGACTCCTACCCCAGCTCTATCTCCTGCTCCAGTCTCACCCTCTGGCACAATTTCCTCTGTACAGCGTGGTATCTGGTAGCAAAAGGCCACTCGCAAACCAGGTCGCGTTGTGAAGCACCAAGGCGCCTCGGAGCCGTCAGGATTCCGGCAGAAATTCTCCCGAAGGTCCCTGACCAGGCACTTTCCTTATGGTGGATGGAGTCCCACCAGGCCCGCCAACTAACCCGCAGCAGGCTGGAACCAGCTGACTCCGCCCCTGGGTCGCACCTTCCCATAGGCCCCGCCCCCACCCACGGGCGCACTGTCCTTTCTCTGGCCTGTCACCTCACTTGCAAGCGTATTTCTCTGGCACAAATCGGTGCTGGTGCGGGCTCTGTGCATCCCATCGTTGGCAGGGCACACCCGCAGAGGTGGTGTTGGCTGTGCCTCGATAGTCTTCGCCTTTCCCGTGGAAGCAATTCAAAGTCTTGCCCTTGTTGCGCCGGTGTGATTTGGATCCTTTGATGGTCGGTGGCAGGTTGGGCCCTGCCGGAAAGCTGAAATTGGAGCTGCTCTTGCCTGTCGAGGGTGTCTGGTACTCGGCAGGTTTTGCTCTCTACACATGCCTAACCTCTCCCAGCTGAGCCACGCCTGCCAGTTTTTGCCGTATTTCTTCCTAGGCCCTGTCCTTGCAGCCTACCGCAACTGGGAAGATCGCAGAATTCTCGTTCAATATTCGGGTCTGTGGTGTAGCACCAGGGCCGCTCAGATCCATCCGGATTACGGCAATAGTTGTCATTCAGAGCTTTGTCGGGGAACCTGGGGTTAGTAACAAGACTCTGGGAGTCAGGTAGGGTTGAGCGCCACCCTCAGCATAAGGATTCCGCCTTACGTACTTGTCAGGCTGAAAAGCGTGAGAGTGAGGGTACTGCAGGTCCCAGCGTTGACACTCGCGTCCTGACTCTGTAACGTCTACCTCACCACGGTAATCCTCGCCATTGCACCAAACGCAAACAGCTGGAAATAAGGGGCCGTCTGTTTTTGGGTGGGAGCAGGCCTGTCCCTCCCTCCCTAGACTTGACCCCAGCTGCTTACCCTCCCTGCAGGACTTGATGCCGCAGCTCTGGAACCGCACACTGGGGTTTGTTGTGTAGCACCAGGGACCTCTGGAGTCCCTATCAGGATTTCGACAGAAGTTCTCTTCCAAGCCATTCTTTGGTGTGGGCGTATACCTGTAGGCAGAGGACTTCACTATATTGCATGCTGGGGGAATTCTGCTTCAGGCCTAGCGGGCAATGTTCTGTCTCACTTGTGGTCATTGGGGAATCTGCGGCTCCAGGCTTGACAGGGCAGGCCATCAGCCGTTCTGGCCACAGTGCCCCGGTAGCTGACCCCATTGTCCACAATGCAGGTTCGTACATAGTCTGGAAGCAAGAGAGGAAGGATCAACAGGGGCTGAGGCTTCACACCCCTTATTACTCATTCTGTTCCTCCTCACTCCCACTTGCCTTTTTTCTGGAAAAGATCACACAGACTTGAATGGTGTAGCTGTGTGTGGGGCGAGTGTTGAGTCCATGGCAGCAACTGGCAACCACGGCTACTCACGTTGTAGTGGAAGGCTCTGGGGAGCAGACACGAGGTTAACTGGCGACAGATCCTCATACCAGCATCCATACCTAGGCTACTTAGTCACTCACCGGCAGTCCAGAAGGGGCCCACAGCGCCTTGCGCATTCCTCAGCATCTGCCACATCCTCCTGCCATGGCCCTGGCACCACTGTATGTAGGAGGTTCTTTAACTCTGTGCTCTGGAGCAACTGGAAGTCGTTCAGTGGTGAGCGCTGACCTGCGGGATGGGCACAGAAAAACGACTGGCATATCAGTACATGTATTTTAACACACCCCACGTTTTGTTCATTTAGGGGCTCAAATGCAAGGCCTTTGGTGTTGGCCTTGTGTGTCTTTTCAAGGACCAACCTAATCCCCCCCCTACATCCATTGAGTTGGGGAGGCAGGCCCAGACAGTGGTTATCACTAGTCTGTTAGGCTTGGCGTGGGTCTCAGGTCGCATACATTCACTCCATGAGGATTTGGGTGATGGGGTTTACCCTCTGACACTTGCTCCATCTCATCTCTCAAATGAAAATGCACGGACTCAGAGAGAAGACGCTATCAAGAGACACTCCATCTTCAACATTTCGACTCCCAAGTCTAGGCTTTCACCAGTATGGAGGGTTATGTTAAGCTATAGTGACAGGTTAGACTTAGGGGGCATGCCTTCTGCCTCTGTGGTCCCAAAACTGCCTCAGAGCTACAGCATGCATCCTAATTTAGGGCTGATCAGACTATTTGAATTCCCAAGCTTTCTCAGCTCTGCTCAGCAGGCCAAGGTCACTGGTCCCTGCCCAACAGAAAAGTAAACTCTTGACGAGAATAGTCATAAGGGCCAGGGGTGAACTCTCCCAAAGGCAGATAGGGGTCAGGGTGGGTGACACTCACCAAGAGCCCTCGAACACTGTGTCAGAAGCAGCAAAAGTGGGAGCCACCCCATACTCAAAGCTGGAGGCTGCACTGTGACCCACCTCTGCCCCATCCCGGAAATTGTGAAATGTGTCCCTACATGATTGGGTGACTCTGGATCCACACCCCCTCTCTGAACCTGCTTGGGCTTGACTGACACAGGGTGACAGTTGTTAGGTGAGGTCAGGCCTCAGGCCCTTGGGTCAAGTGCAAGGCCCTTTTTAATGTAGCCAGATCCCTTCCAGGCCTCTCTGCTTAGTAGGCAGGGCTTAGGAAGGTTCTGTGGGGACACATCAGGCATCCCTGAGGCAGAGCTCTCCCCCCCCCACTCCCTATCAGTCACCACCCCAGCCAAGAGCACTCCGTTGGTCTTCCTACTGCTGTGCTGCATAGCACTGTAGTCAGGCTGTATGGGCGATTAAGTTCACAAAGTTAAAAGCTGATTTTTTCAATTACACTAGTCACATTTCAAGAGCTCAGGGACTACAGTGGCTGTACTAGGCTGCAAGGAACAGGTGTGCCTTCCATCACTGCTGGCACTTCTATGCCCAAAGACACCGCTAGAAGGAGCTGCCAAGATCTTCCAGTCCCTGTAGTGTATTTTCTGGGCCTCGGTGTCCTCCTATAATGTCCCCAACTCGAATGCTGCCTCTCCCCTTTCAAACTGCCTTATCAGTTGACTCCCAGCTGTGGGCTGGTCAGCCCACACCTAGCAGCAGATCCTAAGAATGTTCACCGCCTGTTAGAAGTGTCATTTCAGGTAAGGTGAGCAGACCCTCTCATTGGATCTGGTGCGGGCAGGGGGTGTGAGCTGGTGTGACAGGTAGCAAGTTTGCTGACAGAAGTGGCTTTTCGGGTATCCTAGGCTGCGTGTGGGTCAGGCCTCCAAGCAAGGTAGACGTTGAGACAGGTGACCTAGGGACCAGTAAGAACATAGTCTCTTGCTACGGTTGGGATAGGGGAGGCGGGGGTCGGAAATAGTTGGATCGTCAGGCGAAACAGAAGTGAATATCTCGGTGGGAGTCGGGGTAGGATTTTCTGCCAGCAAAGGCCTGTTGAGGTCTGTGTATATGCGCGTGCGCGGCTGGGGGAGCGGCGCGCGAGCGGGCACGCGGTTTGGCCCTGGACGGGTGCCGTAGCCGAAAAGCTGGGCGGATGTTGTGAGCCGGTCGCGGAGGCTGAGGCTGGGGGTGAGTGAGAGGCCGCCTGGCTGTGAGCCGGCAGGGTCCGGTGGCTCCCCTCGAGGCCCCGGGCCGATCCAGTGCCACAGCGCTTGCTAGTGGGGGTACCGCGGCCTGCGATATAAGATTCCCGGCGGGAACTGGCCTGACAGGTCCTCCGGAGCTTGGGGCCAGGCGGGGGCGACCTGGGGGAGCGTGCGCTGCCCTTGGCGTCCTTGGTCACTCAGACCTAGTCGGTTCGGTTCCGAGCCTGAGCCTGGATCTCTTGGGAGGGCTGGGTGTAATGGAGTGGCAAGCGAGCCTCCGGGCAGGCGCAGGTTCCGCCTGTAAATCCTCTACACCTGACACCCAGAATGGGCGTCTGGAAGGTTGGCTTTCAGTTCTTAATAACTGCGTTCAGTAAGTCCTGCAACTGTCCCGATATAAGGGGACGGGTTCTGGATGTCCATCGATGGTCTCCGGAGGGAGGCCCAGCAGCAGAATCGCCTTCCCGAGCCTGGCGTGATGCAGGCAGGCAAGGGCTTGTGGCGGGAGCTGAGGGCCTGTTTGGGGTGCGGTAAGAGTGGGCTGCAGAAAAGAAATGCTGGCTCAGGCAGTGACTAACGGCCAAGCTCAGGACAGGCGCTGGGACAACTTTCTGGGCCGGTGGTAATGGCACACCTGTGCCTTGCAGTTTAGTACAGTCACATGTGGTCGCTGAACTCGTGAAACTGAAATTTTCAGTTTTTAACTTTGTAAACTTAACCACTCTTGTCTCTTGACGATAGTGTTGTGCAGCACACTTCTATAGTTAGGCAGGCACCAGGGACTTGGTTTAGCTTCTGGAGCAGCTAGAGCTACATAAGGGATAGATAATGGCAGGAAGACCAATGGCTAGGGTGGTGATTACATAGAAGGTTTTGTGTGTGTGTGTGTGTGTGTGTGTGTGTGTGTGTGTGTGTGTGTGTGTGTACAAGTGGAAACAAGAAAGCAATTGAGACCATAGATAAGAAAAGAGAAGAAACTTGGTCTAAATAAGACATCTCTCACCTATTACTCTCTTGGGAAGTAGGAAGGACTTGTGGCTGCAGGTGGCCAGACTGGTCTATACCTTGAGGAAATATGATATAGGATCTTGTCTTCTGAATATGAGCTGGACTCCATGACTAAGGTGGATTTAGGAGTTTTTACTCAAGGCCACCTCTCTTTGGACATGCTGTTCTGATTTCCCCAGAGCCAAGGCATTTAGTTATGGTTCAACAAGCATACTTTGCACCTGGTCTCTGCTAGGTCCTGCACAGGGCACTGAGACAGTATGGGACGTAGTATCCCTGCCATCAGCCCCAATCCCATCAAACATTCCTTTGTGGAAAGCTGGGAGCCTTTGCTTACCCCTGCCCTAGGTTAGTATGTGTGGATGTGTATGGTTCAGTCTCACCTGCTCCCAAGCCTTCCTACCATTGCAGGACTGAGGTCTGTATGACCTTTGACTAGTCTGGAGTAGACACATTCTGCATCTGGCTCAGCCTCCAGGACAACTGGCTGCCCATGAGTGATGAAAGATGGCATCCAAGGGGGCTGGCATGTCTTTGTCCCGAAAGAGCTATAGGCTGACCTCAGATACTGAGAAGTCCAGGGTCACAGGTAAGGGTTGGCATGGCAGAGGGGATGCTTTTTTTGTATTGGGGGAAGGAGAAGGAAGGGACAAATGCAGCAAGGAACCCCTGTGGCCAGATCTTCACCAGCACCCATGGACATACACCCAGTGTGGCTACTCTTCTGACCCTTGTGGCTTGCCGAAGACTAGCTGCCTGTGGGAACAGTAGGGACCAAGAGCTGTTCTGACCACTTGCCTCTTTTCTCTCTTCTGACCTGTGACCCAGGCATTGTGCAAGAGAAACTACTGAATGATTACCTGTACCGCATCTTTTCCTCTCCTGATTATGGGCCCCCTGCAGCCACCAGCAGGTACGGTTGGGTGTGCAGCCCCAGTCCTCTGTTGGGCCTGATCCAAGACTGAGAACTGCAGTTGTGAGGAATGGCAGCCTGGCTTGGATTGTTCCCGGCTTTGAGACCTGTGCCTCTGGCCTGCCCTCTGGACAGTGCTCCTCTCCAGGCAGAGAGCTAGTCCTTCCTTCCTTCCTTCCTTCCTCCCTCCCTCCCTCCCTCCCTCCCTCCCTTCCTTCCTTCCTTCCTGGATGCAAAGGGTTCATGTGTACTTGACCTCCCGCATGCTCAGAATCTGGCCTTATATGTATTTCTCTTTCCTCTACTCTGCCCTGCCCACTTGTAGCCTCTGTCTGAATTTAACATAATGGAAACCTCAGTTGGATACATTAATGTTTAATCTGCATAAAAGTTACAAGTAGCAGAAACTTCAAAACAAATAGAAGCACCCCCCCCCTCCTTCTTTGTTAGTTAGATGTGACCATTTAAATGTGATCCCTTTCTGGTTTCTTTATCTCATAATGTACATAGTTCAGATTCTATAGAATATCAAACTTAAAAAAAAAAAAACCTGAGCACTTATGGAAAAAAATGTTGGTAAGGGTGGTAGCTCATGAATGGGCAGCTGAAAGGCAGAAGTATCCAAGTTAAAGACGGATCTACAAAAGGAGAGGAAACACTGTTTTCTTATTGTTGTGTAATAATTGAAACAAAGTAAACTATGTACTTTTTTAAATGTTGAAGGTGAAAGTTGCATTTGTTTTTGAGATTGGGTCTCATTCCCCGCCCCCCAGACAGGTAGGCCTGGAAATCTCAGTTTAGACCAAGTGCCCTGGATCTTGGAGGGGATAGGAGGGGTTACCACCTAAGTATTCAGATCATAGTGCCACCAGGCCCTGCACCTTTGTGTGTGTGTGTGTCTGTGTGTGTATATATATCTGTGTATGTGTGCCTGTGTGTGGTGTGTGTGGTGTGTGTGTGTGTTTGGTGTGTGTGTCTCTGTGTGTGTCTGTGGGTGTGTGTGTCTCTTGTCTGTGTGGTGTGTGTATGTCTCTGTGTGTGTGTGTGTCTTGTCTGTGTGGGTGTATGTGTCTGTGTGTGTGTGTCTGTGTCTGTGTGTGTGTCTCTGTGTGTGTGTGTGTCTTGTCTGTGTGTGTATGTGGGGGTGTGTGTCTGTGTCTGTGTGTGTGTGTCTGTGTGTGTATGTGTCTGTGTCTCTGTGTGTGTGTGTCTGTGTGTGTGTGTGTGTGTCTTTGTGTGTGTATGTGGGGGTGTGTCTGTGTGTGTGTGTCTGTGTGTGTATGTGTCTGAGTGTGTCTCTGTGTGTGTGTCTGTGTGTGTGCGTGCGTGTGTGCGTGTGTGTGTGTGTGTGTGTGTGTGTCAGGGTGCTTGTGCTTGCCACACAGCTCACTTTTGGAAGTCAGAGAACAACTTGTGGGGATTGAACTTGGTCAGGCCTCAAACTCAGATGAGCCTGCCAAGTGCTGGGACTAATGACATGCCTGTGTACAATGTATCTTGATCATATCCACCCCCAACTTTACCTTTGCTCTCTCATTGGAAACCCCAGCTATTATTTTTCATCTTTCTTTCTTCCTTTCTTTCTTTCTTTTTCTTTTTTTTTTTTTTTTTTTTTTTTTTTTTTGAGACAGTGTTTTTCTCTGTAGCCCCAGCTGGCCTGGAACTTGCTCTGTAGACCAAACTGGCCTGGAACTCAGAGATTCGCCTGTGCTAGGATAAAGTGCTAGCATTAAAGGTGTGAGCCACACTGCCCAACAGGCCCAGTTTTTTAAAAATAGCAGGGTTGTGTGTGTGTGTGTGTGTGTGTGTGTGTGTGTGTGTGTGGTGTAAAATCTGTGAAATAATCACTAGCATCAACCTAGTAAATATATTCTGAATGTTTATGAAAATCAGCCTTTATCCATGTATTTATTTATTTGAGGCAGGTTCTCTCCAGATATCTTGGCACTCACTATGTAGACTACTTACTATGTAGACCAGGCTGGCCTTGAACTCACAGAGATCTGCCTGCCTCTGTCTCCTAAGTGCTGGGATTACAGGCCTGTGCCACCAGTGTCTGGCTAGAATTCTATTTTTGTCACTATGCTTATTCCATAACTCCTTTTCCATATTATGAATTGATTTTGGTGCACATCTTTTAGGGCCAGAGTTCTTCTATGACCTATACCACTGTGCTCATTTTGGAAGCACTTTAGCCTGTATAAACATGCTGTAAGGGTGCTCCACTGATGGCTAAACTATTTGACCTGCAACTACTTTTTTTTTTTTAAGTGATTTTGTGGGGCAGCGGTAGTGTACACCTTTAATCTCAACACTTGGAAGGCAGACTCTGTGAGTTTAAGGCTAGCCTTGTCTACAAAGTGAGTTCCAGGATAGCCAGAAAACCCTGTCCATATATTTTTTTTAATTTTTGCTATATAGCCAGGCTGTCAACAAATTGATAAGTTTCCTGCCTTAGCTTCCCAGGTGATGGGAATACAGGCACTGTGCCAATTCTGCAATCTCTTTTAAGACTATTGCCAGCTGAGCCAGACAGTGATGGCGCATGCCTGTAATCCCAGCACTCAGGAGACAGTGGTAGGCAGATCTCTGTGAGTTCAAAGTCAGCCTGGTGTACAGAGAGACTTCTAGGACAGCTACACAGAGAGATCCTATCTTGAAAAACAAAAACAAAGAAAAAAAAAAAACCAAAAAAGACTATTGCCAGCTTTATTTATGGGACCATTTATGTTTTTCTTGCCATGAAGCATGGATTTTCCTACCTTTGTGTTCCCTGGACACATGGCTGTTCTGTTTTTCATGATCTGTACTCTTTGGGAAACCCAAAAGACAGCCTTATTACTGTTCTATTTAAATAGCAGGGTGGTCAGCAAGTTCCTCCTTCTGGAGGGCTCCTTTCCACTCTGGCTCTAATCCTGGCTTCTTCCCAGGGGCATCTGATTCCTACCCCCATGTGATCACTAGCAGATGCTACTGCTAGTGCTGTGGCCACCAGGAGGCAGGGCCATCAGTCACTTGGTTGTGGAGATGTAGGATTCTAGGGTAGGGCCTGGGAAATCCTAGAAAGGGCAGGCAAGGATTTGCCAAATGGGCAGTACCTCAGTGGAGGCTGTATTGTGTCCTGATGGCATAGGCTCAGAGAGTAACCCTTTTGAGGAAGTTTCCTTTAGCCTTTGGACTATTGGGCAACATAGAGTTGCCTTCAGTCTTCCTTGTTACTGGCTTAATAACTATTGCTGGCTCCTGACGGTGGCCGGCCTAGGGCTCAGCAAGGGTAAGGAGGGGTCTTTGTATATATCCACCTCCTGCAGTTTAGGGTTAGTCCTGTCTTACAGGAGGAAAGCATGTGGTCTGTGAACCTGGGCCATAGCTACCCAGTAGGAGTTAGTGCTTTGCCTCATCTATGACCCTTCCAGAGCCTACTGGTTTTAGGCATATGAGCAGAGCAGGTACTGGGATTAGAGGAGGCAGAACAGGTACTGCCAGTCTGTGAACTGGATTCAGATGGGCGGGCGGTAGACCTCTGTCCTGCCAAGTCTTGCTGGTTGTTAATTCCTTGTCTGCTATTCTTAGGAGCTGAGCTCAGGTCAGGTCTCCCCATCCCCCACCACACACACACACACACACACACACACACACACCAGGGGGCTGTGTGGCCCAGTCTGGCCTCAAACTTGCAATTTTTCTGCCTCAGCCTCCTGGGTGCTGGTATTAAATGTGTGTGCAACCATGCCCAGCCTGATAGGCCCTTTAACTCAGGGAACTTGTGCTGAGAAGATTAGGCATCCGCCCAGACAAACTTGCCCAGCCCTTTTGCTGCAAAAGATTGTGGGCAGATGGGCCATGTATTCTGCTGGCTACCCAAAGCCAGGAAGGCATAGAATAGACCCAGCCCTTTGTACTTCGAGGGCATGCCTGATTAACAACATCTCCCTTGGCTGAGTAGTGGGAAAGGCTGTGCTGCCAAAAGAAGCATAGGTTTAGGGTTAAGGACTAGATTAGATAACCCTGGTGCTGGCTGACGGGGCAGCTGGCGTCCCTCCCAGCCTCATCTTCCAGCCAGAACCGACACAGATGCATTTGAGAGAAGGTAGGTTATGAGCTACCAGGCAGCATGGGCTTTTCATGGGAATCTTCACATCTTGACAGCCTGATGTACAGCTGTTTTTTTCTTTTTGTTGTTACTGTTTTCTTTGTTTACAGATGAGGGAATTAAGAGTTAGAGAGCTGGTATGTGTGTGTGCACGCACACATGTGCACACATGCACATGGTGCAGTTGGAAGCAAAGGGGCTTGTGGTGCATGTGGATGCTGGAGGACAAACGTCTCTGTCAGTCCTTAGATGCTGCCCTCTCTTTCTTTGTTTTGAGGCAGGGTCTCTCACTGGTCAGGAACTTGTTAAGTAGGCCAATTGGCTCACCGGTGAGACCCAGGGGCCCTCCCATATCTTCTTCCCTAGTGCTGACTAGTGCTAAATATACACAAATTCCATAACCTCCAACCCTTTTTTCTTACATGGGTTTTTACTCTGCTCCTTTTGGTGCTTTCCTGACTATGCTAATCTTCCCAGCCTGAAGGCTGACGATTTTTTATTTTTAAGCAGTCCTGAGGTATATATGCTTGTAAGCTTTAGTTTAGTGACTCATGCCATTTCTTAGCTCCTAGCTTACTAGAGTCTAGAACCAGGTAAGTCCTTCCTCCAGAGCTTAACCAGCCACCCAGCAGAGCTCAGGGAAAAGGTGACGGGGGGGTTATTGTTTGGCTGATCTCAAGGGCTTGTGGCCCCCCAGCATCCTTTCGCTCTCCAGGGACCCCCTGAACTTCCATAACCTGCCAGAGCATGTGGAGCAGCTGCTGCAGGTGGACAGTGAAGATGAGGAGAGCCAGGGTGAGGCGTTCCCTGGAGTGGGGTTGAGAGTGTGGGGCGGAGCCCTGGAGTTCTCTGCTGTGTCTGGCAGACCCTCTGCCCTCCCTGACCTCCACATCTCCCCTCTCAGGACAAGTTGAAGGGCGACTTGGGCCATCTACTGTGGTCCTAGACCACACAGGAGGCTTTGAGGGGCTTCTCCTTGTGGATGATGATCTCCTGGGGGTGAGTGAACATTGTTGTGGGCCCCTAGTTCAGCTCCTTCTAACAGTCCCAAGCTCTGCTGGTATGGCCCTGTCCTCTGTGTCTGTCCTGGTGAAGCATCCACACTCACCTTGACACCGCTCCAGACCATGATGCCCCAACCCTTAAGCCTTCCTGACATAACCCTGAAACCTAGATACAATCACCACCTCAAGCCCTTCCAGCAAAGCCCTAGGTCCCATCATGCTTCTATCCCAGAAGCTCTTGACGTGGATAGAGTCTCTCCTACCTCAGCCAGACACAGTGCAGTGTTGGCCATACCAAACTTGTGCCACCAATGCGTGCCTGGAGAGCAACGCTGCCTTCTTCTCTACCCAGGTGATTGGACACAGCAACTTTGGCACTATCCGCTCTACCACATGTGTGTACAAAGGTGAGCTCACATCTGCTGAGGCTGAGGGGTGGGGGAAAGCGAGACAAGAGGCAGCCTTCATTCACTTTCCGGGCCTACCTCTGCTTTTTCTAGGGAAGTGGGTCTACGAGGTACTCATCTCCTCCCAGGGGCTCATGCAGATCGGCTGGTGCACTATCAACTGCCGCTTTAATCAGGAGGTACACACAAGAGGAGCACTCTCCTGGAGAGGGCTCGTGTTACAGGCATCCTCAAAGCAGGGGCACCCCTAGGCCCGCTCAGGGGCCTGATCTGGGTTGGCCACTGAAGAGGGAATGTGCTCCATTCTACTGGAGGGCACCTAGTATAGAACCCTTCACTCCTGGCTCCTTTGCAAACACATCACACCCCTTCTCTAGGGCCATGAGGGCACTAGGTTAGTAACTGGTGGGCTCTGGCCTGCCCTTACCCATCTTCCCCAGACCTCACAAGCAGTTCCTTCCTTCCTAGGAAGGGGTTGGAGATACATACAACTCCTATGCCTATGACGGGAATCGGGTGCGCAAATGGAACGTGACCACAACAAATTATGGCAAGGTGAGAGCTAGGCTTCAGTGGATCACCAACCGTAGCTTGTGGTCTGGAGCCACAGGCTAGCCATGAAGGACTTTAGGTACCAGGGAAGAGTCAGGTGTTTGGAAACTCCTGTCTCCTTGTGGCTAGTCTTCCCTGGGTGGTCCTAGAAATGGAGCTGGGATGTGGATCAAGCAGGCTCTATGCTTCTTTGTGTCTGTAACGCTTCCTTTCATGGCAGGCGTGGGCAGCGGGAGACATCGTGAGCTGCCTGATTGATCTGGACGATGGCACTCTATCCTTTTGCCTGTGAGTCTCCTATCTATCCACAGACCTGGCCAGACGCCCATTTCCTGCTCATTCTATGGGAGCCAGGCCAAGTTCAGTAGACCAAGGGTGGGCAGCCATACCCTTCCTAGCACTGGGTTATAGACCTACCCTTTTCCTCTCCAGGAATGGTGTGTCACTGGGCACTGCCTTTGAGAACCTTTCCAGAGGCCTGGGAATGGCCTACTTCCCAGCCATCAGCCTGTCATTCAAAGAGTCTGTGGCATTCAACTTCGGCAGCCGTCCTTTGCGATATCATTTTGGGAAGATGGTTGTGGGAGGCTTGGCATCGAAAATGGGGTCTCCCTACCCCAGGAGCACTGTGGGCTGTTGCCAGGTCTAGCTGCTGCTATGTGTACATAAGATGCAGCTTAGTTAGGTTGGTGTAAGGACAAAAGTCCTTTTAAGGTGGGTGCCATTAATTGTCATCATTGATCAGGTGAAGAACATAAAATGACAAGGGACTCAAAGACTGAGTGGGAGAATTGTGATCCAGGCTGGGCCCCTGCTGTGCTGCTTGGTGGGCGGCGGTGGCGGCAGAGGTGGTGGTGGTGTAGGGGACTCTGGTTAGGCTCTCTGTGGGAAGAAGAGAGGGAGGGAGGGAGGGAGGGAGGGTGTGTCTCAGCATCAGGTTAGGTGTTGCTTGCTTAACTCTGTGGCACCTACCCAGTTGCGGGCTTCCGGCCCCTGCAGGACCCTCCCTTCACTGACCTGGTGCGGGCACAGAGATTGCTGGGCTGTTTTCGGGCAGTGTTGAGTGTGGAGCTGGACCCTGTGGTGAGCCAGAGTCTGGGCTGGGTGAACAGGGGTCTTACCCCAGCCCACTTCCCCTCATAGTCTTCTCCCCTGCCCAACAGGAAGGGCGATTGGTGGAGAAGGAAAGCTCCGAGTGGCAGTTGCAAGGGCAGCCCACCGCCCTCCTTACCCTGGCCCACATCTTCCATCACTTTGCACCACTCCTGGTAAGGAGATGACGGGGGAGGGCAGAGGGGGCATGCTAGATGTGTCCGTGGTAGACACACGCATCTGCTAGGGGCTCACGTGGGATCCAGTAGCATCACCTGCCAGGGTTCTGTACGACCACAGGCCTCAGACCTTAAGGATAGCATCCCGGGGAAGAACAGTCTTGATTGTCACAGGCTGAGGAAATGGCATGGCAAAACCCTAGAGAGTGTGGGCCAGCAGCTCTTCTTGTTCCCAGTCAGACTCTGGAAGGGTTCATCTGTGGTAGAATTGCTTGAAAGGCTCAAGACTTGGTATCTGAGAGATGAGAAGGGGCCTCCTGAGTAGAGGGGGCAGCCACAGCTTTACCAGTGCCTGCCCTTCGGTGCAGCGCAAGGTATACCTGGTGGAGGCTGTGCTTGTGAGCTTCCTGCTGGGCATCACGGAGAAGGGCACGCCTGAGCAGGCGCAGTCTGTGGTACACCAGATCTTGGACCTCCTGTGGCTCTTCATGGAGGTAAGACTTGTGACTCCAGGCTCAGGCCAGGCTGTCAGACCCCATCAGGGCCACGAGGTATGGTAGGGTCTTGGGAAAGGCCCTGTCATGGCTGCCCTAGCATCTCTTCCCAGGACTATGAGGTACAGGATTGCCTCAAGCAGTTGATGATGTCTCTGCTACGTCTCTACCGGTTCTCACCCATTGTCCCAGACCTGGGTCTACAGGTGGGAGCATCTGTCCCTGCCCTGAACACCGCCCCCCCCAGCCTCGCTTGCCTGTTCTGAGCACCCCTTTTCCACAGATCCACTACCTGCGCCTCACTATTTCTATCCTGAGACATGAGAAGTCCCGCAAGTTTCTGCTTAGCAACGTCCTGTATCCTTTGGATGCTAGGCAGACCAGCCATGTAGTGATGTAGTGCCTTGTAGGGTCAGCAGAGGGCAGTGTTCACCAGACCAGGTGAGTCTCTCCCCAGGGAGAGTTAGAAGGCCTGCTGCTGCGTGGAGGTGTGTGAGAAGGCCCCATAGCCTGCTCTCTAGCCTCATCTAGGTAAACTGCTATCAGACAAGATCTTCTCTGAAGAGGCAGCTGTCCAGGAAGCCTAAACACAAGACACCTTAGTCTGTGTCTTTTAGCCCCCAGTAGGCAGAAACGATGGGACGTAGGAGTCAAAGTTGGGGCCTGAGATGGAGCAGCAGGCCCTCCCAGCCATCTAGTCCTTTGACAAGTTTTTGTCATACCCTTGCTGGGTAGTGGGCCTGCTGACTTGATAACCATAGATCTTTCTTGAGGCTCACAACCTAGGAGACAGTTACATGGTGAAGCTGGCATCTTAGACGATGGTTACATCAAGGTGGTTTCTGAGAAAGGGTTCATGGGCATGTATAGCAGGTTCTTTGTGAGCCAAGTTCTTCCTTCACGATTGCCAGTTTCGACATGCTTCGGTCTGTGGTCTTCTTTTATATTAAGAGCCCCCTGCGTGTGGAGGAGGCTGGCCTGCAGGAACTCATCCCCACCACCTGGTGGCCCCATCGCTCCAGCAGGGAGGTGGGCAGACCTTGATGGGATGGGAGCTGGCATGTGAGGGCCTGCCCCAGGGTACCTGCGCACCTGGCACTGACTACCCGAGGCCTCTTTTGCCCTGGGTCCTGAAGTCCTTGGGGGTGAGAGGTCTTCTGTGTGAAGTAGTCCTGGGTAAGTCAGTCCCCAGGAAACCCTTCTGTCCTCTGCCCCTGCCTAGGGCAGAGACAGTAAGGAGGCAAAGGAGGAGACCACTGAGGAGCGGCAACGGAGGCGAGCCTACGAACGTGGCTGCCAAAGACTAAAGAAGCGCATTGAAGGTCAGCCCCCCTCAGGCCTTGGGTAGGGACAGGGCATCTGTGCACATATACTTTGGAGCTGTTGCTGGTGACCATACCTAGGGTAGGCTTGGGGAACCCTGGAGGTAGAGGTCTGACACAAATTTCTGCCTGCTCCCATTCCTGGGAGCCTAAGGGTTGTATTTCCTGCCCCATCCCAGTGGTGGAAGGACTACAGGTCCAGATCCTGAAGCTGCTGTTGGACAATAAGGATGACAATGGGGTAAGAGGCCCAAGACTCCTGTGTGGGTCCCTAGCTGGGAGGGATGCTGCTTTGGCTCAGAGTCCCAGAGAGCAGGGGCTGGTTCATGTTCCTACGCAGGGACTCCGGGTAAAGTGGAGAATTGTCAGCTAAGCACAGTCTCCTTTTCCCATTCCTTGAAGGGTGAAGCTTCTAGGTACATCTTTCTGACAAAATTCCGAAAGTTTCTGCAGGAGAATGCCAGCGGCCGGGGGGTAGGTACCCTCCAGGGCAGCCACTGAGGGCTGTGTTGCAGGGGTTGTGCTCTGGGCATCTGGCACCTCTCAGCCTGTCTCGTATCTGTGTCACATTCCTCTGCTGTCACTGCCTTTTCCTCCGGGACCCATGCACAGCCTTGCATGAGGATGAGCTGGACCCTGGCCTGGCACCAATATCTGTTACGTTTTGTTTCTGTTATGTGCCCCCAGAACATGCCAATGCTCTGCCCCCCTGAGTACATGGTTTGCTTCCTGCACCGGCTGGTGTCTGCCCTGCGCTTCTATTGGGATGAATACAAAGCTTCCAACCCCCGCGCTTCCTTCAGCGAGGGTGAGTGACACCAGACCCCCGGTTGGCAAGGCTGGGTTGAACCGGGTCTGCGTTGGCTCCTGGTGGTGCTGTAGAGACCTGAGATGGGTGTGAGGATAGCTGGGCTCTGCCCAGTTAAGTCCATCTCGGGAGCCCCACACTCTGGGGCCCTTGGGCCTGTGTTGGCTGACGGATCCCACAGACTCCTGCCTATGACAGGCACTATTCCTCAGTTCTGGTGCCCAGATCTCTGTGCAGTCCTTTTAGGAGCTGCCTTGGACGGGGCCTGGGGCTCCTATGTTTGGGCAGAGTCCCAGGGTCGTTGGAGACTTGGGCACTCTGGGCTGGGGAGCATCCATAGAGTTTACCTTCTGTTCTCTTGGGTGGTTACAGCTGGTAGCTGAGAGGCAGCTGCCAAGAATTCTTCCTCCACTCCAAGTTCTGCAGTTGTTGACATTAATCTAAAACAGCAAGGAGTGAGAGAGACAAAGAGGCCTGGGCTCTGGCTCTACTGTCTGCCCGGGCTGGTGGATGAAGGTCAGAAGGCTAGAGTAGAGGCTATGGCTCTGGAGAGTTCTACTGTGCAGATTGCTGACCCCACATCCCTGTCTTCCTGCAGAGGCGTATGTCCCGCCCCAGATCTTCTATAATGGCAAGGTGGATTACTTTGACCTTCAGCGCCTTGGGGGCCTCCTCTCACACCTTCGAAAGACCCTTAAAGGTGAGTGGAGGCTCAGTGAACAGGCCTGGCTGCCTCTGAGCCTGTAGTGCTGTGGGTGCTGAGTCACCCTGTATCCACTAGAGGGTGCCCAAGTCTTTCTTAGCTGTTTTGCCAGGGAGCTGCTAACCTGCTAGGCTGCATCTGATCTTGGGTTTAGACAGCTGTGCCTTCCCTGGGCACTAGAGACAGGCTAGAAATGCACTGATGGAATAGGGGCCAGATGTATGGTCATGGAATTTGGCATCCTGGTAAAGGCCGTATCAGTGCTGTCTGAGCTGCCTTCATTGGTGAGCATAGCTCACTATGGTGCAAAGGGCCTTTGGTATCGTGAACCCAAGAGCAAGAATGTCAATTATGGGCAGAGTGTGGTGGCATACACTGTAAATAACAGCACTCAGGAGGGTACAGGCAGGTAGAGCTCTGGGAGTTCCAGGCCAGCCATGGCTACATAGTGAGACCTTCCTTTAAAAACCAACAAACAGGGCTGGAAAACTGGCTCAACAGTTAATGAACACTTGTTAGTTTTGTTGACTCCCAGCACCCCCAGGGCAGCTCACAATAATCTGTAATCCAGTCTTTTGATCTCTTTGGCCACCAGGCATGCACATGCTACATGTACAAAACCACTTATACAAGTGAAAAAATAAATCTAAAAACATTGTATTAAAAATAAGCAACAAAGCCAGGTGGTGGTGGCAACTGCCTTTAATCCCAGCTCTTGGGAGGCAGAGGCAGGTGGATCTCTGTCAGTTCAAGACCAGTGTGGTCTATAAAGTGGGTTCCAGGACAGCCAGGACTGTTACACACAGAAACCCTGTCTCAAAAAACAAAACAAAAAAGCAGCAACGCAAGTTTGAAGCAGCCCAGTATGGCCTGCAGATGTGCTGGGAAGTCTGAGGAAGGGAGCTGTGAGGGGTGAGGCCAGTCTGAGGCTTTTGCAGGCCACCCGGAAGGAGCAAACCCTCCGGGATCAGCTTTGGAAGGCCTGGGGGAATCTAGGAAGTGAAGTCAGGTTTACATTATGAGATGTTCGCTCTTGAAGTAGGGAGAATGGACTGCAGTGGGATAATTATCTAGGTGATGTAGGATAAGGGCCTGCCTAGGGAAGTAGGTGGTTGTAGAGCAATGGGTAGCCTTGATCATGCTAGTTCTATAGCTGGGTATCATCAGGGCCAGGGCTTTAGAAGGAAGATGAGATATCAAGTCCAGTGTGTTGATGAGACCTACAAACTCAGCGAGAAGCAGAGCCCGAGCTGGAGACGTGCTTGGATTGTCTGTGCAAAGTGAGGTGTGCCTGACCTCCTGTCTGGAGTAGTCTTACGGGACGCCGTAGGCCCACAGGAACGCTACGGTGAGGGGGGCCTCCTGCTTCCAGTTGCGACTAGAGGAGACCCCCTTGCTGTAGAGAGAAGGCTGGGTTGCAGTAAGAGGGAGAAGGTGGTGCGGAACAGCACCCCGCCCAGTCTGCCAGTGCTGTCGCCACTCAGAGCAGTTCCATCAGTGGCCCCTCTTCTGTAGCTGGCCTAAGCCTCTCACCCTGCCGTGTCTCTCAGATGACCTTGCTTCCAAAGCCAATATCGTGATTGACCCCCTGGAGCTCCAGGCAGCTACCATGGATGACCTGGATGAGGATGAAGAGCCAGCCCCCACGGCGGTCCAGGTGTGGCAGTAGGGGCAGGCAGAGGCTTCATGTTGGGTTTTTCCTTCATCTTGTAGGTAGGGGTAAGACGCAGGTCAGCTTCTCTCCATGTAGGCGAGCCCCTCCCTGTCCATTCCCCCAACCCTGTGCATCAAGATGGTCCTACGTGGGTTCCAGTCTTGGAGAGTCGATTAGCTTCTGACCCCCTTTCTCCACTACAGCGTCCCATACAAGCCTTGGCCATGGGTGGGGCTCTGCCCCTGCCCCGGCCAGGCTGGCTCAGTTCTCCAACCCTGGGCCGAGCCAACCGCTTCCTCAGCACAGCAGCTGTGAGCCTCATGACCCCACGGCGGCCTCTGAGCACCATAGAGAAAGTGAAGGTTCGCTCGCTGAACGTGGAGCAGAGGTCTCGTGAGGACAGTAGGTGCTGGGCAGAGCTGCTGAGGGACCCTTCTCTGTGTATAACCCTTATCTTTGGCAAAACCAGAATAGTCCCCTCCCCCCCCCACTCCCTACCACCTTGAGGCCTGGCCACATCCCAAGGGTACAGGAAGCACAATCTGAAGACATGAAATCAATATCACAAAAATAGGTCCTGGTGTTGCAAGGCTTCGCCCTGTGCCCCACCCCCCCTTGACCCATTCTCCCTGAGCTCCCTTCCTAGGGAGAGAGAGGGAATCCCCTCTCCTCTCAGCAGGCTCTTATCGCCTGTGTATTTAAGAGGGAATCAGAAGTCCCAGCACCAGGAAGCAGAGGTTATTGTCAGACCTCTGAGTTTAAGGCCAGCCTGGTCTACAGGGTGAGACCCTGTCTCAAAAAAACAACAGAAAAGCCTGGCTCTCATTCTGTTTTCTGCTCCCCAGTCGAGGGCAGCCACTGGAATGAGGGCCTGCTGTTGGGGAGACCCCCTGAGGAGCCCGAGCAGCCCCTCACCGAGAACTCGCTGCTGGAAGTCCTGGATGGCACAGTCATGATGTATAACCTCAGCGTACACCAGCAGCTGGGCAAGGTCTCACACTGTCAGTCATGTCCGTGGTGAGGGGTGTTCTGCATGGTGGGGCACATGGATGCTTCCACACCTGCCCGTGGGGTGTTAGTGCACAAGAACACATCACACAGCAAGACTCTGCTGCTGCCGCCTGGCTCTGCCCTGTGTTATTTTTGTAGGAAGAGGCCAGATTTGGGGAACTTTGCAGGCTAGGGCCAGATTGGGTTTCAAAAAGCCCAGTTAAGGTACCCAAGGGTCACCCTGGATGTGTGGTGTTCAATACTCTAGATGGTGGGTGTGTCTGATGATGTCAACGAGTATGCAATGGCCCTGAGAGACACAGAGGACAAACTCCGCCGGTGCCCCAAGAGGGTGAGTCTGGGGCAGGCAGGTGGGGATGGGAACAGACGGGTGTTGCACAGGGCACAGGGGCGCTATACTTGGGGTCCCTCCTATACTAGAGCACCTCACAAAGGAAATCTTGTTCTGGGGATGCCCCAGCATTTTCCCTTGCCCCTGCCCTGACCGCACCAAGTGGTGAGGACAAGGCTGGCTGAGGGCCTGTGTGCCTTGAGCCCCATCGACCAGCTGTAGCCCATGCCAAGGCTCCCCCATTCCTGCCCACTAAGTGCTGATGCTGCACACATCACCCTCATTAATAATGGATGGACCTAGAGTGCCTCCTTAGCCACTTGGAGTCAGCAGGAAGCGGGCCGAGGCTCTGCCATGGCATGCCTAGCCTGGGCTGGGCCTTCTGTTCCCACTGTCACCAAAGTGTTGGGATTACCCAGCCATTGAAGTTGCAGTCTGGCCCTGTGTCCCTGGATGCTCGCACCAGCAGCTCACGGAGAGGGGTTAACCAGCTGGGTCACCGCTGATCACTGGCAGAAGTGAGCCTTGAATGTGGAGCTCTACCCCCCTCGTCTGCCCAGGGTGCTAGTAGGGTCCATATCAGACTGCCCCGTGAGATATGGGCATGAGGGTATATGCTGATTGTCTGTTTTTCTCTGTGGGGGTCAGAGGAAGGACATCCTTGCAGAGCTGACCAAGAGCCAGAAAGTTTTCTCAGAAAAGCTGGATCACCTGAGTCGCCGGCTCGCCTGGGTCCATGCCACTGTCTACTCCCAGGTGAGTAGCATGGCCCTACTTAGTGTGGCCCTTTTTCAGCTCTCTGTTTGACTGTAGGCTTGACAAGGTTGCACTAGGACCCTTAAGGACCCTAACCCTATGTCAGATTGTCCTCTCCCACACTATGCCATTTCCCTTGTGGCTGTGGACTTAGTACAGGGGTCCTTCCTGCTCACCTTACTCTTCAGCCATGGTCCTGTGGGGAGTTAGGTCGTCTCTACCTGCCTTCTCCCCTCACCCCTCCTCTCAGGCATTAACTACTCCACCCCTGCCAGCACATCTCATCTGGGGCTTTGTGGCCTCCCCAAACCTCGCTTTCTTGTGTCTGCTTCTGGCTAACTCCCTGCTGCCCCTTGAGTCTGGACGCTTGTCTTCTTTCACTTGCTCAGGTGCTATCCAGACACCTGTCCCACACAGACAGCCAGAAAGATGAGCCTCTGCCCTCCCACGCCAGTGGGGGACAGGGAAGGCGGACCCTGCACTCCCTTTGAGGCTGAAATTTGGCCCTTGACCCTGGTCCCTCCCACCTAGTTTCTTCTACCTATCCCTCCTGGCAGCTCTCTCTCAGTAGTGGTGCCATGGGGCTGTTGACAGGTGCCCTTGGAGAGAGGCATACTGTCCCCTGGGACTGGGGAGTCGAAGCTTTTGGCATCTCCATCTCTACCCAGTTTTCTCTGCTCAGTGTGCCTCTCCTTACGTGTGTGTGTGTGTGTGTGTGTGTGTGTGTGTGTGTGTGTGTGTATTTTATCTGCTTGTATGTATGTGCACCACATGCCTGTAGTGCCCATGGAGGCCAGAAGAGGCCACCAGATCCCCTGAAACTGGAGTTAGAGACATTTGTGAGCTGTCATGTGGGTGCTAGGAATTGAACCTGAGTCTTCTTGAAGAATAACTAGTGCTCTTAACCACTGAGCCGTTTCTCCAGCCCTTCAGTGTGTCTCCTAATAGCTCCTTCTCCACACCTAAACCACTTCCACCTTTTACCTGTTCCTCCTCCTGCTATCAAAAGCAGCCAAAGACTTGTGTTGGAAGCTTCCCACCTCCGGGGTTTCACACCTGCCCCCTTCTCTTGGCGCTCTGGCCACACCCTCCCATACCAGCTTCCCAGGACCCTAACCCTTCCACCACCCCTCCTTTCTCGTGGTGTTCACTATTTTCATTAGAGTTGTATACTTGGAGTCTTCTTGCTTGTTTGTTGTTTTGTTTTGTCGAGACAGTGTTTCTTGGCCTTGGATTTCCCAGAACTTGCTCTGTAGACCAGGCTGGTCTCAAATTCATAGAGTTTCACCTGCCTCTGCCTCCTGAGTGCTGGGACTAAAGGCCTGTGCCACCACCTCCAAACTTACTTTTGAATCTTAAGTTTATGGTTCTGAACCACTTTGAGTTAATTTTTGTAGATGGCGTAAAGCAAGGTCAGGTTTTATGCTTCTGCTTGTAGGGCTGCAGTCCCCTAGAGCCATTGTTGGAAAGGACCAGTCTTTCCCTGTTGGGTCCTTGTCAAAATCAATTGACAACGGAAGGGTCCCTTACTCTGTCTCATTGGTCTTTACATGTACCACACTTTTTTGATTTTCAGTTGTTTTTGACAATAAGTTTTGAAATCAGGAGGATGGAAGATGGCTGAGTGGGTAAGGGCATTTGCCACTATGTTACTTTCTTTGCTGTGAAGAGACACCATGACCAAGCAACTCTTTTTTTTTTTTTTTTTTAATTTAACTTTATTTTATGTGCTTTGGTGTTTTGCCATAGGTGTCGGGTCCCCTGAAACTGGAGTTACAAACAGTTGTGAGCTGCCATGTGGGTGCTGGGAATTGAACTCAGGTCTCCTGGAAGAACAGCTGGTGCTCTTAACCCCTGAGCCATCTCTCCAGCCCCCCAAGGCAACTCTTACAAAGGAAACCATTTAATTGGGGTGGCTCGCTTACAGTTTCAGAGGTTCATTCATCATGGCGGGGAGCACGGTTCAGTCCATCATCATGGCGGGGAGCACGGTGGCACACCAGGAAACATGGTGCTGGAGAAGTAGTTGAGAGCTTTACATCCACAGGCAGCCAGCAGAGTCACTGGTCCTGGCATGGGCTTTTGAGACATCAGAGCCCATTCCCATTGTCACACCTCCCAACAAGGCCACACTTACTCCCTCCCAAACAGTCTACCAGCTGCTAAGCATCTAAATATAGGGGCCATTTTCACTCAAACCATCACAGCCACCCAGGAGAGCACCAACTCCTGCAAGTTATCCTCTGATATCTACATGTTCACCATGGCACACATGCGTGTGCGTGCACTCAGGCACGCTCACACACAAACATCAGGAGGCTCGCTGCTGCCTGTGACTCCAGCCCCGGGGACCCCGTGCGTCTGCTCTCCATGGCGCCTGCACTCACACAATGTCTGGGTGGGTTTCCTGCCTTCCTGCCTTCCTGCCTGCCTTCCTGCCTGCCTTCCTGCCTTCCTTCCTTCCTTCCTGCCTGCCTTCCTTCCTGCCTTCCTTCCTGCCTCCCTGCCTTCTTTCCTGCCTTCCTTCCTGCCTTCCTGCCTGCCTTCCTGCCTTCCTGCCTTCCTTCCTGCCTTCCTTCCTTCCTTCCTTCCTTCGTGTGTGTGTGTGTGTGTGTGTGTGTGTGTGTGTGTGTGTGTGTGTGTGTGTTTCGGGACAGGGTTTCCCTGGCTGTCCTGGAACTCACTCTGTAGACCAGGCTGGCCTCAAACTCAGAGATCCTCCTGCCTCTGCCTTCCAAGTGCTGGGATTAAAAGTGTGTGCCACCAGAGTCTGGCTGTTTGTTTTTGTTTTTTTGAGACAGGGTTTCTCTGTATTGCTTTGGAGCCTGCCCTGGAACTGGCTCTGTAGACCAGGCTGGCCTCGAACTCACAGAGATCTGCCTGCCTCTGTCTCCTTAGTGCTGGGACTAAAGGTGTGTGCCACCAATGCCCGGCTAATGATTTTCTTTTTATCTTGAAAAGATTGTGTATGTGAGTACTTAACGTTTCTGTATGGATTTGAACACATGCATGCCTGTGCCCACAGAGGTCTAAAGAGGGCATCAACTGCTCTGGGACTGGATCTGCAGTTGGTTCTGAGTCTTTATGTTATGTGGGTGCCGGGAATCAAAGCTGGATCTTCTGAAAGAGAAGCAAGTACTCTTTACTGTCAAGCCATTCTCCAGCCCATGTTTTCTATTTCTTCAACCACATGGTTGAAAGCAGTATCAATATTGTAGCAGTATTAAGTCAACAAGTCATGATTAGAGATGTCTCTGATTATTGATATCTTTAATTTCTTCTAGCAATATCTAGTAGTTTTAATTTTGTGTCCTACAACTTTTTTTATAATCGTGATTTATTTTTTGAAGATTTATTTTATGTGCATTGGTGTTTTGTCTTCGTGTATGTCTGTGTGAGGGTATCAGATCCTCTGGAACTGGAATTATAGTTGTGAGCTGTATTGTGGTTGCTGGGAATTGAACATGGGCCCTCTGGAAGAGCAATCGTTGCTCTTAACCACTGAGCCATCTTTCCAGCCCTATCAATTTTTATTTGTATTTTATGTATGTTTGTGTTTTGCATGCATGCCTGTCTGTGTGAGGGTGTCAAATCCCTGGAACAGGAGTTACAGTTAGTTGTGAGCTGCATGTGGGTGCTGGGAATTGAATGTAGGCCCTAACCACTGAGCCATCTCTCCGGCCCTGCCTCCCCCCCCCACCCCCCCCCGCATCCAGGATTTGTTTCTAATTCTCTCCCTCTGTGTATGACCATTAGGATTTCTAAACATAAGACAGTATTTGAGAACAGTGGTGACTTTACTGTTCCCATCCCAATCTGGATGTCTTTTCTTTATCTTGCCTAATTTTCCTTACCTGTGATCCTTAATACTGTGTTGGATAGAAGTGATAAAATGGGCACGTTTGACTTGTTCTGAAACTCAGAGGATGACCCCACACCGGGGCCCCTGAGCGTGATGCTCGTGATGCTCGTGATGCTCGTGATGCTCGATGCAGGCTTTTCATACGTTATTGAGCTGCCTTCTCCTCCTGTGTCTTCAGCTCTGAGACGTGTCTTCTATTATTAAAGGGCCAGTGTGAGTGCTCCCTTGGACTGCACTTGCCCACAGCACTCCATCCTCTCTGCTGTCTTAGCTACCTCCCCTCCCCCAGTGCTCTGAGGTAGGACTCACGGTGTCTGCCCTGTCCCCAGCCTCCGTGGCAAATCTCCCTCATTTGGCCTCTCGGCTACAATGGTGTTACTGTCATCTTGCCGCAGGCCCGTCTTCCCAGGCCTTCTGTGGTGACACTACCCACTGCCCACGTGTTGGCTCAGGCCCACTCCTCACCCTTCTCTGTGTTTTTCTCTGGTCCTGGGATTTGGGACACCCCAGGGAGCTAGTGTCAAGGCCAGGGCTGTGAATCCAAACTGGGCTGGGCGCCTTCTTAGGCCCTTGTGCCTTTCACTTGACCCTAAAGGGGCCCTAAGAGCCACACTGTGGGGATGAGGCCCTTTGTGGCTTCTCTTCCCACGCAGTCACGCTGCCTTCCTTTCCCACCGCTCTCTCCTTCAGCTCGACCTGCCTCCTCCACACACACTCCCTGGGAGCATGGGCAGGTACCCCTGCTCTTGGTGCTCAGCTACCCCCCTTCCTGTGCCAGCTTCCACGCTCCATCCGTCACCTTCAGAAACGGGGGCCATTCTCTCCTTCTTTTTGAGTAACAGCTGTTATCTCTGATTTGCTTTTATGTTTTATTTATTCTTTTCTCATATATTACATCCCAACCCCCAGCTGGTTCCCCCCTCCACTCCTCCCAGCTGTCTCCACCCCCTCCGCCCCCCCAGACCCACCCCTCCCTTGGGGACACCGTACTTGGTATGTGGGCAACACAGCCTGTCTGTCTCCCCAGTCCTGACTACCCAGTCTTTTTGTGTGCCGCCTTAGGCCTGGCCACTGCTGTGGCTCCCTCACAGCCCCGTCCCCATTGTCCCTACAGCCTCTCTCTGTGCCTGAACTCATTTGGGTCATAGTACTGCCCTGGTCTGGCTGGACTCTTGCCTGCTGAGGACTTCATTCTTTCAGCTGAGGCCCCTGCTCACACTCCCAGTAGCCCAGGTCTTAGCCATTGTCATGGGGAGGCCTTCCTGATCCCTCGATCAGACCGACCGTGTCCCTGTGACCCTCACAGTAAATGGCCCAGCAGGATTCTGTGTTCCTCCTGCAGGAGAAAATGCTAGATATCTACTGGCTGTTGCGTGTCTGCCTGCGGACCATCGAGCACGGGGATCGCACAGGGTCTCTCTTTGCCTTCATGCCTGAGTTCTACCTAAGTGTGGCCATCAACAGCTACAGTGCTCTCAAGAATTATTTTGGCCCTGTGCACAGCATGGAAGAGCTCCCAGGTGATGGGACTACTCCCAGTTTGGAGAGGGAGGGAGTGCGGAAGAGAGCTTTAGAATGGACGTGGCAACCCCCCCCCCCCAAGCTCACAGTCACCGCCCAGCCGTACACATCAAGCCTTTGTACTGAACTAGTGCCGCAGGCTCAGAAACACAGAGGGGCGCACCGAGGACAGCCTATGCTGGGGACCCCTAGCTGTTTCCTTTGCTGGTGTTGACAGCTGCTGTGGTCTCACAGCCAGTTGGCTCCTCACCCTGCCGCCCTGGTCTCTGGGAGGCAGTCAGACTGCACAGTGTCTCCTTTTGTAAAGCATAACAAGAGGCGATCCCTGCTGGGGCTCAATAGGAGCCTTTGTTTCCCAGGACTGCTGGGCCTAGCGATGGTAGGCTTGATGGGTAGGCTATAAGCCGCCAGGCCCCTCACTTGCCTTTAGCCTGTGCAGTCCTTGGTGTTGCTGTGTCTTCAGAGCTATGGGGACCAAGTAGCTTTGACTGCTGAGTCATCGGGTGAATTCCAGAATGGGTTAGAACCTGGGTTAGGGTCCTTGTCAGAATCTGTCCGCTCCCCTTCCCAATTCCCAGTGTGGAGTGTTGCCTTGCCCAGTGTCTCTAGATGCTAACATGGGTTTAGACTGGCCCCGCAGCCAGCTCTAGGGCTTGCTACACACAGCCTGCCCACCCTGACAAAGGACATGCCTTCTCTGGAACCCTTACTGCTGGCCAGCAGTTCTCACTGCTCTCCTTTGCAGGTTACGAAGAGACCCTGACTCGCTTGGCTGCCACCCTGGCCAAACACTTTGCTGACCCACGCATCGTAGGCACTGGTGAGGTGCCCTGCAGAGAGCCATGGGATGGGGTGGGGGCATGTCTGGCAAGCTGTTTTCTATCTCAACTGTGGCCATGTGGGCATTGGGCTCGGGGGTCCCAGCCCATGCCAGAGACTTGCTGAGGCATAGCATATCCTGATAGACATTCGAGACTCACTGATGCAGGCCCTGGCCAGCTATGTGTGCTACCCACACTCTCTGCGGGCTGTGGAACGGATCCCCGAGGAGCAGTAAGTCGGGGCCTGGGGGGATGCACACCCCGCTCTGTACAGCATCATGCCCGGCCTCACCCTGCGCCTGCCATCCCTCACCTTCATAGGCGTACCGCCATGGTCAGGAACCTTTTGGCACCCTATGAGCAACGGCCCTGGGCCCAGACCAACTGGATCCTGGTGCGGCTTTGGAGGGTAAGTCTGAGCTGAGGGGAATGGCCAAGGCCAGCTGGAAGGGAGTGCCACTGTGCCCCTCTGATGCCTGTTTCACCCCCAGGGCTGTGGGTTTGGGTACCGATATACACGGCTGCCACATTTGTTGAAAACCAAACCAGAGGATGCCAATTTGCCCAGCCTCCAAAGTGAGTATCCAGGTTGGCCAGGTCCTAGTGGCAGCCCTAGACAAGCTGGTAGCCCTTTCCTGCTACTCAAGAGTCTTTCCTGTTCCTCCAAGCCTATCTCCTGGACTGCTTTCAGGCTCCTAACCTTCCCCTTGGGTCCCCATTGTTTTCCTATTCCCTCCTAGCCCTGGAATGCTCTGGGACAAGTCCTTTTGTTTCCCCTGGACTTGTAGTGAAGGGCTCACAGTGAAAGGGAGTCCATACCTTTCCAGCTTGCTGGCAGCTTAATGTAGGATACACACTCTATTCCTTACCCTGTGCCTGCCTCCTTTTCCTCGGCCATACCCCCGAAGTGTATCTTCTTTCTTTGTTATCTTCTGGCCTTGGATCCTTGACTCAAGAGGATCACAAGCTAGAAACTGATCAGGACCCAAAGTGTGCTTCAGATTTGGCTAAGAACAGAAGCTGTGATGTCTCCTGTGCCTGTCAAAGTCTCATTAGCCCAGGGTCTTTACCCGAGCCGTGCAGCTTGCAGAGGGCTTGCCACATTCCTTGTCTCCCTTACCAGTGTCTCTGCCCCTGCAGCCAGTGTCTTGGTCTCTGGGTGTTCCCAGAGTGACCAAAAGTGTTGTGCAGACTCACAGAGCAAGTCCTTGCTAAAAGCCTTGTCTAGACTCTAGAACGGAACTGAACTGCAAGTAGGGAGGGTGGTGGGGACAGATGCCCCCCCCATGTGCAGGGACTATTGATTTGCATCAGAGGGTTGGAGAGGTATGTTGGGCCAGCTGCTGCTGAGAGCTCTGGTTACTTCTGCCCTTCCAGCCCAGACTTGGCGTTCGCCACCTAAGCCATATGCCAAGGCCAGGCCAAGGGCAGCAGAGGATAGCAGGGCCCATTCTGGGCTCTTGCAGAAGCTGGCCTTGATGCTGGTGGGAACGGTCTATGTTGTCTGTATCTGACACTTTCTAGCAGGCAGGCATATGATTCAGAATGTGCTTCAGGTCGGGCCAACAGCTGTCCAGTGGTTCTGGAAACACCTGCAGCCTATGGCTTGCTCAGCAGGAGGGAAGGAGACATACTTGCTCCTAACTTCAAAGCAGTTCTGTGCCAATCCTCTCTTTTCATGACCTGGACATTCTTAGAGAGCCATCTTTTTGTTCTTACACCAGTATCCCAGTATTTGACAGGCAGGAGGTTCCTGTCTGGAAGTCCCTGGTAATGTTGCTTTCTTTCATCTGCCCCCAGAACCCTGCCCTTCCACCCTACTGCAGCGGCACATGGCAGATCTGCTGCGACAAGGACCTGATGTAGCACCTAGCTTCCTCAACAGTGTCCTTAACCAGCTTAACTGGGCCTTCTCGGAGTTCATCGGCATGATCCAGGAGGTGGGCTGTGGTGTGTCGGGGTAGGGGTGGGCCGAGGTCAGGGCCTCTGATTGCTACCTGTCCTCCTGCTGGTGACTTAGATTCAACAGGCTGCTGAACGCCTAGAGCGAAACTTTGTGGACAGCCGGCAGCTCAAGGTCTGTGCCACCTGCTTTGACCTCTCGGTCAGCTTGTTGCGTGTCTTGGAAATGACCATCACACTGGTGCCTGAGATATTCCTTGACTGGTCCCGCCCTACCTCTGAGATGCTGCTTCGGCGCCTTGCACAGGTGTGTCCATCTGGGCAAGGAGGGTGGGACCCTGGGATAACTCAAGTGGTGCGCTTGCCCATCCACCAATAGGCTCCTGCCCTCACAGCTCCTGAACCAGGTGCTGAACCGGGTGACAGCAGAGAGGAACCTGTTTGACCGTGTAGTCACCCTACGGCTTCCTGGTAAGGATCTAGATGCCCTGCACCTCAGCACACCAAGGCCTTGGTTTCTCTGCCAGGAGCAGCAGTGCTAGCTTCTCCGTTCAGTACCAGGACTGTGCACCCCCAGCCTGTTTCCCTTTATGTAGGAAGGGTGGGGAAGGTCAGTGGCATCAGCCGGGTCTCAAGCTGCTGTCACAGAACTGTATGAGGGCTTCTTCTTCCTTCCTTCCCCTTAGGCCTGGAGAGTGTGGACCACTACCCTATCCTGGTGGCAGTGACCGGCATCCTGGTACGCCTCCTGGTGCATGGTCCAGCCTCAGAGTGAGTGTTGGGGACTGTTGGCCCCCATGGGAACTGGGTATGCCCTTTGAGGAGGGGCTTATAGGGCAAGGGCCTCATTGTACATGTTTCTCTGTCTCAAAATGAACCTCAGAATCTAGTTTGGGACACTGAGGCAAAGGGAGGTGGTGAGGTGTGAAAGGGTGGTAACAGCACCTGCTCTGGCTGGGTAGGGTTAGCTTACAGCCATGACCCTTGCTGGGGCATAAATGCCAAGACTCGGAAGATGTGCCATCCTCTGATGGTCAGGGCCACCCTCCTGGATCAAGAGCCGAGCACACAAAGCCACCCATCTGGGAAGGCCCAGCAATGTACCACCTTTATTACAAAATGCCTTAATAGTCGTCTAGGACACAGGGCTGCCAGCTCCTCCTGGGAAGGGCTCCGACCTTCCTCCCTAACTGTCTATAGGAGTGGGGCATATGAATTCAGGATACTGCTTTAGCCATTAGGCTGAAATGAGTGCCAGTCCTTAAGAGGCCTTCTGCCCTCCAGGGACAGTAGGCCCAGATTAGTTGTGTTCACCAGGCTTTTTCCTGCTGGGTGATGAGCTCTTGGGATTGGCTCTACCTTTGGCTGAAGACAGCAGGGCTACTCTTGCAGGGTGTCCTGAAAGAGGCGTGCATGCCTACCAGATTCCACAGGAGTTATAGAGCTCTCCGGAGGCTGGATGGTGGTAATAGGGTACTTTCAGCAGAGGAAGGGCTCATTTATTCCTCCAGTCCTAGAGTGGGAGCTGGATCTTCTGAGCTGCCTTCTCCCTTCTTGGTGAGCTCCCTGGCAGGGAAGGGAAGGTGGTATGCTTGACTTCTATACTACACCGTAACATCTGCATCAATTCCTGAGGTGGTCCCAGAGCTCTAATGCAAGAGTTCTTACCAAAATGGTCTATGGTCCCTAATCTTCATGGGACGTAGGGTCACTTAGAGGTCCTGGGAGAAGCAGGCTCTAGTGGTCTGAGGCAGAGCAGGAGGCAAGTGGCAGGGTTGCCTCGACCCCTGTACCAGTGAGCAGAAAAATTATAGTCCAGGTCGAGGCTCACATGCAGTTGTAGGAGCAGGCACAGTGCATCCCACCAGCATCTGTCAGGTCTCTAGCCTGCATCAGCACACCAAGCAAGCAGCAGGTCTATGGCTTGTGTAGGGGGCACCCAGGCAGTCTAGGTCATCATGAGACCCTCTGAGCCCGTGGAACTGGCCGACTCAGAGCCAACCTTGAGCTGCAACTCCATGGGGTTACACAGATCGAAGTCTTCCGCTACTGCTAGCTGCACACGGCCATTGAGACCTTTCTTGCCCGGCTCCAGGAAAACCACATGCTTGTGGACACTGGCCTTACGGCTGGGTGCATCTGGTGGTGTAGTGCTGAGCACTAAGGACTGTGTACTCAGCTCCTGGAGTGGACTGGGTGCTCGGGGCCAACAGCAGTGGTGGCAGGCCCGCCCGCAACAGTGACAGCAGCCACGACAGGGTGGTGCAAACAGGTAGAGCAGCACCAGCACCAGACCCACGACACAGCCCAGCAACGTGGTGAAGCCTGTGTTGAAAGCCTCTGGCTCGGGGCGAGGTCTATGTACACTCACGTTGAACTCAAGGGTCTGGTTGTGGTGCAGGCGGGGCCCAGTTGCCAGGCACACAAAGATGCCTGCATGTTGCTCTTGCACCCTGCGTATCTCTAAGCTGCCATCAGCCAGCACAGCAATGCTGCCATCCTGAGATCCTGGTGCCACAAGCAGCTCATTTTTTGGTGAGACCCAGGCCACTCGTGCAGCAGGCACGCTGGTGTTGCAGTAGAGCCTCAGGGACTGTCCCGCCTGTGTGTCCAGCTGCTTTTCAGGCAGTTCTAAGCCTAGAGCTGCAGCAGCTGAGCAGTTCTCAAACACCCGGCTGTGCTCAAAGAAACGCACTCGGGACTCCGAGACCTTAAAGACCAAGCATGTGTACTCACGTGCAAAATCCCGCAGGGCACTCAGGCCCCGCTGATGCCAGCGCTGGAGCAGGTGGTACAGGCGGCAGTCACAGGTCAGGGGGTTGTTGTGCAAATAGAGCCCGTTCTTGAGGAAAGCTGGCAGTGCAGCCAACCCGGAGATGGAGATGTGTCCCAGCCAGTTGGAAGATAGGTCTAGTGTGCGCAGGTGGGTTGTCCCCAGACCATGCAGGTCATCGAAAGAAAAAGAGGTGAGTTCATTGCAGCTGAGATAGAGGTGTCTGAGCATACTCAAGCCCTGGAAGGCATCCGGGTCCAAATGCACCAGTTTGTTATTGTACAGAAGCAATCTCTGTAGTCCCCCGAGTCCATCTAGGTCATGGGTGTGGAGTACCCTCAACATATTAGATGACAAATCAAGTGTCCTCAGGCCACTGGCATTGTTAAAGACACCGTGGCCCAGCACATCCAATTTATTGTAGCCTAGGTGCAGGGCATGCAGCCGCGAGAGAGCTGCTAACCAGCCAGGGTGCAGGCGTTTGAGTGCATTGTGGCTCAGATCAAGTTCTGCAACAGTACCAGGTAATGCTACAGGCACATCCTGTAACCCATGGCCCGCGCAGCTCAACACATCGGCAGCACAGATGCATTTAGTGGGGCAGCTGTGGAGAGCAGGGGGCAGAACGGCCTCCAAATCTGAGGTGCTTAACCCGGCACCCAACATGCACAGCAATATGCCTGGCACCACCAGCCAGGCCATGGCAGTGGCCACCAGGGAAGAGATGGGGGGCTCAGTGCTAGTCACAGCTCCAGGACTCACCCACTTCTCTACAGCCTCGCCCGTTGTGGTTCCCTGTGGCCCATGGCTTGAGAGGTACGATGCTGGCTCCACCTGCCCAGCTGGCTTCTCCTGCTCTTCTGGTCTGAGTTGTGAGGTGGGGCCTCAGCCCTTCTTTAAGCTCCCCGAGCTTCTCCAATTGCTTTTCTGACTGGATTCTAAGTACTCACTAGGACGTGACTGCCCAGGGGTGGGGACCCAAGCTCCCATTGGGTCTTGCTGTTAAGGGGCGGGGCAGCCACATCTACTGGCACGTGAAGACCCAGTGTGACCACCAGAGGGCCCCAGTGTTCCAGTTAGCTTGGCTGGAAGCCTGACTTCCCTTTTGAAGAGCAAAAGGGCTTAACTCTTGGGATAAAGTCTTTTGGTAGCGAATGTTCTCTAAGTGATTTTGAAGGGTTAATGTTATAGGTTAGGTGGAACCTCACCCTTCTCCCTTCACATTTACTCATTTGTTGGTGTGTGGGGGGTTGTCATGCAGAGTCAGCAGACAACTGGTGGGACTGGCTGGGACTGTTTTGTTTTTGTTTGTTTTTTTTTTTTTCCATTCTATGGGTCCTGGGTATCACATCCAGGTTGTCACATTGGGTAGCAAGCAGCTTTACCCTATGAGCCATCATCATCAACACCTCTTCCCTTTAAAAGGGTACATAGGTCGTTTGGGACCTACTGGGACCCAGGATTTAAGAGGGCTGGTAAACGACGAGATGCAAAGAGTGCAGGCATAATAATATTGAGGCCTCTGGATTGGATCATCAGCCAGCCCCACCACGGGGCCGATTTTCACACGGGCTCAGCGCTGTCCTACTACCTCTGCACCTCCCCATCTAGGACAGAGCAAGCCACCTCTGTGCTGCTGGCTGACCCGGGCTTCCAGCTCCGCTCCATATGCTACCTCCTGGGGCAGCCAGAGCCCCTAGTACCCGGCACTGCCTTGCCTGCCCCTGACCGGAAGCGCTTCTCTCTACAGAGCTGTAAGTGGGCCAGGGGGGGACAGGACAGAGTTTAAGGCTCTCCTGAGCTCAGGATCCTCAAGAATAGCAAATTTCCTGCCTGCGAGTATTCATAAGGCACCGAGTTTGTTCTGGGTCTATAAGGGACCTGACACCACTTACCACTAACCCAGATACAGACTACATCAATGCTGAGGAGCTTGCCCAGGTGGAGCAGATGCTGGCACACCTGACTGCTGCATCTGCCCAGGCAGCAGCTGCCTCCCTGGTGAGTGGAGCTAAGACACATCGGCCCATGCCATTTTAACTCTCGTACACACCAGGGTAGGTACAGGTACAGCCACAACCCACTCCTCACTCTCCATCCCGTAGCCCACCAGTGAAGAGGACCTCTGCCCAATCTGCTATGCCCACCCCATCTCTGCTGTGTTCCAGCCTTGTGGCCACAAATCCTGCAAGTAAGTGGGCCCCATGGACTTGGGGCAGCCAGTAGGACACACGACACAGTGCTCACTCCCCTTCCCTCTTGTAGAGCCTGCATCAACCAGCACCTAATGAACAACAAGGACTGCTTCTTCTGCAAAGCCACCATTGCATCCGTAGAAGACTGGGACAAGGCAGCCAACACCAGTGCCACCTCCTCAGCTGCCTAGGACAGCCTAATGCGCACAGCTCGCAGCGTCCTGGAACCTCCACCGTCGAACCCAGACCGAGCCCTATTTATGAGCTCTCGGCCTTCTCCACATCACCCTTACTCTCACCACACCCACCCGTCTGCCTGTGTGTAGCCTCACTCGTGGGAGCCCAGCCATCGCCCTAATCATGCCTGAGCTTGACTTGCAATCCAGGCTACAGTGAGCATTAAATTATTATTCCATACAGCCCTGGCCCCAGCTCTTCTTGAGGGAGTGGGGCTTGTGGGTTACGCCCAGCAGGGTCCTGTCAGTTTCTGTCCCCATCAGAAGGCAGGTATCCAACAGCTTCAGACTCCTCCATCCCTCCCCAGACAGATGGTACCAAGTCCAGGGTCTGCTCAAGTGTTGAGTGACTGCCACACTTCTGGTGGTGAAGGGGGGCTTGGCCAGCCCTACATATCCCTCACATGATAATACGAGGCTCTGGCACCGACTCCCCAATAGACTTGTGGGGCAGCACACTGGCTCCATTGAGGTAGAGTTCATCATTAACTATGACATCTTCGCCCAGCACTGTTACATTCTCCATGCGCACCTGGGGGTGGGGGAGGTAAACCTTGTTAATGGAGCACACACATTCCCTGTTCTTGTCCTCATCCAGCCCAGCTCACAGACTTACCCATTGACCCACACGGCAGCGCCAGCCCACGATGCATGACTCCAGCCAGGAGTGGGAGCGGATATGCGCATCCCGAAGCACTGTGCACCGCCGGATGCACACGCCATCCTCCACCACCACACCAGGACCCAGGCTTACATTGGGGCCAATGCTGCAGTTCTGACCAATACGGGCACTTGGGTCCTGAGAGTGTTGAGGAAAGTAAGAGTGGGTCATTTGTCTCCCAAATCTGAAAGGGCTAGTGACAGGCTGGGCAAGGGCCTCACCACGAGTACATTCCCCACAATGCCAGGGCCTGAGCATAGTCTCTCTGGATGCTTCTGTCTCAGTGACTGCAGGAAGAGGCACATGCCAGTGAGAAAATCCTTGGGCTGTCCAATGTCCATCCAGAAGCCTGGAGGGAGAGAGGAAATCAGAGGGCTCTGCCTAGCCACAGATGACCCCTCACCCTATGGCCTCTCTGCCTCACCCTGAAGCTCCATGGCATATAGCTGCCCCTCCTGGGCCATAACTGGGAAGACCTCCTTCTCAATGGATGTAGGCTTCAGCTGTGGAAGTGGGCAACTTGTGAGCAGGGCACACAGGAGAGGCCTGTCCCCCAGCCCGCCTGCCCGGCAGCTCTCTCCTACACACCTGGATGCGCTGCAGCACGGAGGGGCTCAGGATGTACATGCCTGCGTTGATCTTATTGGACACAAACACCTGTGGCTTCTCAACAAAACGGTGAATGCGGCCTGTGTCAGCCTCACAAACCACCACACCATACTTGGAAGGCTCCTCCACCTTGGTTACCTGAATATGGAGGTGGAAGGTACCTTAGGCTAGTCCAGCGTTCTTTATCCTTGATACACATGCCTATCCCACATCTCAAAGGCTTTGTTCCAAGAACATTCTGCACCGCTTTGCACAAGGAGCAAGTTTAAGACTGACGGTTAGGAGTGACTGGGTAAGAGGGTGGGGTCTTCAGAAAAGGAAGATTTGGGTCTCTTACCAAGATGGAGCCCTCTTGGCCATGATGTCGATGGAACTGCACCATGGCTTGGAAGGGAAAGTCACAGATCACATCACTGTTGAGAACGAAGAAAGGGTCTGCGGTCTCAGAGAGTAGGTCTCGGGCCAATGCTAGAGGCCCAGCTAGGGAAGGGGACAAGTCATATGTTACCACTTTGCTAGAGGCCTAGGTCCTGGAGTGCAGACTCCAGAGGCACCCATTCAGATTGGTAATACCCCTTTACTGACCCTACACCTTGCCACAGAGCCTTCCTTTTTCTACTCACCTGTCCCCAAAGGCTCCTCTTCGTGAGACATGGAGATTCGGATTCCGAGCTAGAAGGAAGAAGACATCTGGTTATATTCTCTCTCCAACACTCAGCCAAGCCCAGGCACCGAAATTAAAGGACTAAGTCCGCGCGTGCCTCACCCTCTGCTCCTGTGCCTTCATTTCCTTTTCCAACATCTGTGACATGTAGCTCACTGCCAAGATCACGTGGTCCACACCTGCCTGCCAGACACAATGAGGTGAGCTAATTGATGGGCTCGGTAACAAGGTATGACCACCCCTGGCCTCCCGGTCACGATCCGTCCCTTTTCCCGCCACAGCTGACAGGGCCTTACCGCGGCAAGCGCCTCCACTTGATGCAGCAAGATGGGCTTATTGCAGAAGTCCACCAATGGCTTCGGGGTGCTCAGCGTCAGCGGCCGCAACCGGGTCCCATACCCACCCACCAAGATCAGTGCCTTCATCGCGCCTGCGGGTGATAGGAGTGGGTCTCTGGCTCCAAAGTGCCTACAGGCCGCCTGCCGAGCCCTGCCGCGCGCTCCTGCTGCCGTGCCCTGCCCCGCGTCCTTTAGCAGCCAGACTGACCGACTCTGGCCTCACCTCGCCCGCCCGCTCTACCTTGACTTGGGGTCTAGGAACAGCCAGAACACCGGAGGAGGAACTGGTTGGAGATCGGCTGGCCTGGAGTTCCGGCCTGGAGGCGGCGCAGCCAGTGACGTAGCCGGGAAGAGCCAATAGGCTGCCGTCTACGTGGCAGGGCTGTCCGCAGCCGAGCCCGGCGCTACGCTGCGGCACACGTACCCAATTAGAGTCCCAAAGCGCTGGGCTGCCATGGGGACCCGGAGAACTCGCGGGTCAGATGCCCATTGGCGGACCTAAAGGCGGAACTGGAGGACTTCCTATCGGAACCGGGTCCGCCGCCTTCCGTCCCGCCCAGCCGGTGCTGCCTCCTCCGGCTCCACCCCGCTCCGGACCCACCCCAACGCCACTCACCAAGTGCTCACAGCTTGCTCTGAGCCCTATCTCCAGCCGCTCCCGTGCTGTCCCAAAGTTCTGGCACCGCCATTCAGCACCTGTCCGAACCTAGTTCAGAACCCCAGCTCTGACCCGGCACCTCCCCTCGGGTGAGGGAACCTGTGAACGACGAGCTGGGTCAGCCCACCCGGAGGCTGTGAAGGTTTCACCAAGACTTACACAGTTTAGTTTCTAGAGGCTTTATTTGGACATATACGACCTGACACAAGCGGGCGGGTAGCACTGGGCGTACAGAAAGGGGCCGGCTCGGGCCAAGCACTCCTCTCCACCACACACAAGACCCAGGGAAATGCAAGCGCACCTAAACGCCAATGGAGCCACGTGTGTATCCAGGCGCAGGTCTTAGGCTATGTAGGCAGGTGTGTAGCTTCCAGGAAAGAGGAGCAGAGAACAATTTCCAGAACTCGAAGTCTTACATTTCCTCTACAGAAGCAAAGGAACTTTACCCAGGTTCTCCGTTTTCCTCATTAAAATGCAGGGGGGGTTTTGTTTGTTTTTTTAAATGGGCACACACACAACTTACACAGCTGTAAAGTTCAAAGCAGTTTACATTTTGGGAACGTGCAGGTGGCCAGGTGTGAGGGAATGAGCAGCACATACTGAACTAGCCCAGGCCCTTGGCCTAAGAGAATCTTCACACCCACTGCACAGGCCCAAAGATGGGAAGGGTGAGTCCCAGGCAAGTTAGTTACTACACTGGTCCCTTTCCTCTTTAAGCACCACCCATCCCGTTTCACTTCCACTCACCTCCCAGGGCTGGTGTGGGCTTAGTCCGGGGAAATACTATGGAGAGGGGTAACCTGAGCTTCCCAACCTATGATCCCTAGTTGCACTTTGGTCCCAAATTGGGGCTGGGAAGGCAGGGCCTGTCAGGGACAGGGATCTGGCCTGGGACAGGTGGGACAGCGATGGCAGAAAGTGTTATCACACCCACCACCACCCATCAGATAAACAAGCTGGCCCTCCAGACATCAAAGTGCTCAAAAGTGGGCTCCTGCCCTTGAGAAGCAGCAAACCCCAGCCTATCAAGGTGTAGGGGCAGAGCTCACAATGTTAAAGGGGTATGGCCTCCTTTGCTACATGAGAAGCAGCAAAATGGGGCAGGGTGGGACAGTGCCTCCCAGAATCTGGTAATTGGGGGGCACAGCACATCCCTAGGGGGTCACCCCCGCCCTGAACCCACTCTTAACCTCTATCCTGGCAGAAAAGATGTGTCCACAATAATGAACATCAATTCCCCCATAGCTGAAGAACAGAATATTACTGGACAGAAGACAGTTGTTACTAACCAGAAGTGGGCAAAGCTGTGCCTCCGGCCCTAAGGAATGGGAGCCTGCCCACCACTGGCACCAGGGTCAGAAGACCATGACTGAGGTCTGTCAGGGAGCCCTTCTCAGGGCTCCTATGAACCAGGAAAGTACGCCATTAGTTACCAGTATCTCTCAAAGGCTGGCAGGATTATCTTCAAATGCCAAAGCCATGTCAGAAGTGTTGACCGTGGGCCACAGACTTGGAGATGGCCGAGTGTAGTGTACCCTGCAGCAACCTATCATTATGGGTGGCAGGTCTCTACCATCAAAGGGCTAGCAGCAAAAAGAGCAATGGGCCAGGATCGTCCCCTTGAACCTTCACCGCCCCATGGTGCTGAAGGCCACACCCCAGGCCCACAAGGCCAGCAAGCGAACACCACTACAGGTCATTCTGCAAACAGGTTTGTAAAACAGCAGAACCCGCAAAGGGAAGGGCACAGGAGCAAAGGCTTTCCTCAGAAAAGGGAAAGAATGTTTCGCCGAGGAAAGCATGAAGCAAAGCAATATATACTAATCAACAAGGCTATACTCCAGAAAGCTCACCACACAAACGGGCTGGCAGGCGGACAGATGAACTTCCTAACAGATCCTAGGATTAACCAGACAAAGTTCTCAGCAGACTCTGGGCACCTGTACCCAGGGTCCTATGTCCTTAGAAGCAGACAAATTTAAAGTTCTCCCTCCAGGCCTAGAGCCTGGAACACCATATAACGGGCTTCCGCCTTGAGCATGGCCTGGAGAAGACGAGACCCTGAGTGGACCACAGACCCTGAGCCCTGGGGGGGGGGGAGCAGCTCATCTAGAGGCAGCACAGCTGCCCAAACTAGAGGGAGGAACACCACCCAAAGCTCAAGAACTGCAAATACTGTCTAGGCCAGAGCCACTAAAGGCCCTTGGGCCTCATGGGACACTGACTCACCTCAGCAAACAGAGCTGCGCCCATCTCAGTAGGACAGGAGGGTATGTGGCCCTCCTTAGGCAAGGGATCTTGGCAACAGGCTGGCTGGGGTTGCGGACAGAGGGGCAAGTTTACATGCCTAGTGTGCCTGGGAGCCCAGGGCCTGCCCCCTGTTGTTCGCTGGCCTTAGCTCAGCTTCACAAATCTAGCCCCATGCCAAAATGAGACCCAAGGATTAGTCCATCTGTGCAGTCAGCCCTGTATTGCCAAGGGCAACTGCTCAAGACTGGCACAAAATTAGAAAAGCCCCCACAACATGGGCACTTAACCTCCCCAGTTCTGGGAAATGAGGGATTAGTGGGCGTGGATAGACCCTCTGCCAGCCAAGGGATTCACCTCACAACCAGCAGAGCCCCACAGCCACAGATCCCAAAAACCTTAGGCAAGGGAACAAAAGTTCAAAGGCATTCTGTCTCTGCTACCAAGCCCACTGGGGCCACCTTTTCCTTCCTGAGTCAGCCTGGACAGAGCAGAGAGAGCCACAAAGCCAAGGAGCCTGGCTGAGAGGACGTATGTTCTGCCCTCCTTTACTTTGTGAGCATGTGTGTGTGTGTGTGTGTGTGTGTGTGTGTGTGTGTGTGCGTGTGTGCGTGTGTGCGTATGTGTGTGTGTGTGTGTGTGTGTGTATATATATATATATATATACGTATATATATATATGGATTCCAGGCTACAGCTAAAAACATTTCTTTTAGTTTACACCAAAGAGAAATATAACCCTTTAAAAGCAAGTCAGCGTGTCCTCACAGCAAGTTCAGAGCAATGGTCCCTGCCTATGGATGGAGAGGAAGGGGTCTGTCTTAGGGCCCAGAATTGGGCCTACTGGTTCTCGTCCCGCATCTGTTCCATGATGCTGATAAGATTCTCCAAACCAAACACATAGCCTCTGTCCGGCCCATCGTGAACAGTGGGGTCATCCCGGAAGCCCTTGAATGTGCTGTGTGCAAAGTCAATCATGCGGACATCCACTTTGGGCAAAGAAGAGGGGCCAGCTTCCAGGTTGGTGCTGCTAGGACTAGTGCTGGGACCACAGGATGGTGGCGCTTCAGGGAGCCCCATGTCCACGTGCTTGAGTCGCAGCTCAGGCCTGCACTCCTTGCCATCATAGATGACGAGCAGAGAGCTAGAGTAGAAGCGGTAGGAGGCCTGCCGCTCCAGCACAGCTTTGAGGCCCCGAAGTTTGCTCAGGATAGGCTCAAAGAGGTCACGACGCAGGTCCAGGCCATTGTGCAGGTACTGATACAGGGCATTGCGGAAGCCTTCAATGGAGAGTCCACGACCATAGTATTTGTTCCTGCAGAGGTAATGACCTGTGTCCAGCTGGTATACCTGAAACCCCAGGAGACAATACAGGGTTGAGTACCAGGAAAGTTTGATGGCCACAAAGTGTCCCCAAGCAAAACTAAACCAAAAACAAGGAAACAAAAAACCCAACCAACCAAAAACAAACAAAACAGTCTGGAAGGCACTCTGACCAACCTGAGCTCTTCAGCTCCTCCTACTGAAGCAGGGAGGCCACATTCACCCCAGGTTTTCCCGTCATGGAGCTGTGAAAGCCAACACCAGGCCTATAGCCATCACTTTAGAAGCCTGCCTCCAAGCTGTCCCAGGGTCCTGCTAGACTCTAACTGGGAACACACTGCCAACAGACAAGTCTTACTCGCCCAGTGATAAGGCAATATGCTCTCTCAATGACCCTGCACGTGGAGCTCAATCAAAGTCAAGCGAGGAAAAGCAGGGCTCAGCTAACCCACTTGCAAAGACATACTCAGCACCTGGTGGGTGACTCACCCTTTTAGAGAAGACTCTGAAACAGCGCAGGCCAGGAGGACACGGGTGTCAGGCAGGTATGGGCACAACCTAAAACATGCACTCAGCAGCACCTGGGCTCTCACCAGTGGTGACTCACCTGCATGCCACAGACCCTGACCCCCAGTGTAGCAGATGTGCTCTGCTCACACTTCCTCATCTGCCGGGCTGCCTTCTCAGCTGATGCGTCATCCCCATGCTGCCGGGTACCCATCTTCAAGTCCAACACACAGGGGTACTTGAAGTGGTGTACCACATTCTCAAGCAGGAGGAACTCTGGACCAGAGTCAAGAAGAATGGCAACTATATTCACTGTCTGCTCCACCCAGGAAAGTACAATTACAATTTTCTAGAACAGTGGCACTCTGACTGGCTTTTTGGAAGCCACTCCTCACACTGGGTTGCCTTGTCCGGCCTTAACACAAGGGGAAGTGCTGAGTCTTACTGCAACTTGGTAAGCCATGCTTTGCTGACACCCATGGGAGACTAGCCTTTTTTTGAACGGAAGTGGATTAGGAGGGAGGACAGGGGGGGAGGGGGAGGAGAAGAGAGGGGGAAACTGCTGCTAGGATATAAAATTAATTTAAAAACGGGCATTCTGGTCTACTGTAAACTATATGTGCCTCACAAATTCCTAAGTGGCAGTTTCAAACTACCGGTTTCAACAACTTTGGTAGAATATACATCACATATAATTAGACGTGGGGGATGGCACATGCCTTTAATCCCAACAACCACACAAGACACAAGCACATGGATCTCTGAGTTTGAGGCTAGCCTGCTCTACACAGTGAGCAGGTACCGGGCATGGTGATGCACATATTTAATGCCAGCACTCCAGAGGCAGAGGCAGAGGCAGAGGCAGGCAGGGCATCACTATTGTCCATCTCCCCAAGCTGAATCTCTACTCACTGAAGGCTCACCCCCCATCTGCACTTTCTACTCTCCAGGAAACCTCCACTTTCTATGTCTAGGAATTTGTCTATTGGAGGCAGCTCATTTACTAGAATCTTCCAGCATTAATCCTTTTATGTCAGGCTTAGTAAAATGCTTTTAAGATTCACTCATGTCATACAGTGTATCAAAATTTCATTCCTGGGCACTGGAGAGATGACTGAGCAGTTCAAAGTACTTGTTGCTTTCGAGGAGGACCCGGGTTCAATTCCCAGCACCAACATGATGGCTCACAACCATCTCTAACTCCAGTTCCAGGGTATCTAACACCCTCTTCTGGCCTCCACAGGTTACCTGGCACACATATGGCACACATACATACCTACAGGCAAAACATGAAATTAAATTAAAAAAAATTCAGCCTAGTGCACCCTTCAATCCCAGCACTCATGAGGTAGAGGCAGGCAAATCTGAGTTCAAGACCAGCCTGGTCTACAGAACAAATCACAGAGCAGACTCCAAAGGTACACAGAAAACTGGTCTCAAAATAAATAAGTAAATAAATAATAAAAATAAAAAAATAAAACCCTTGAAATGGCTACCATTACCCAACCCATATGAGACCAATTCTATCCACAAACACCATGTCATGCATGGAAGCCAGAGAGGATCAGAATGTTCCATTCCTCCCTGAGGTTAAGTTAAGTCAATGGTTCAGAGGGGAAAGAGATTTTTCTCCCCAGTGGTATAGGTACCCTAACCCTGTAAATAAACACCCACTGCCCCATGCAACACACAAAGGGGAACAGGAGTGGGGCTATGGGAAGAGGGTAAGTCATGGAAGGGACACTAGAACGCAACTGGTGAATACGATCAAAATACATTTGTACACATAAAAATCTCATAATAAAACCTATTATGTTTAGTATATGCTAATAAAAAAAACCTTAAAATATCTATCTTGAGAGTTAAGAGGTTAGTTCAATGGTAGAGCAAATACTTGGGCAGGAATGAAGCCCCAGATTCAGTCCCCAGATAGAATAAGAACAAAACTGTTTTGCCATTTTCTCACACAATTTCAAAATCAGTGAGACAAGGATACTGTAGAGTTTTCGGTCCTTGGACTCAGATCGCATACGGCTCAGCTGCTGCTTGTGGCAGCGCAGGCTCCAGGGGTTGTAGCTGATCTTCTCAGAACTCAGACCACTATTGCTGTCTAGCATCTGGAAAGGGACATCTGAGTGGCTGTGTAGCTCCACCTTCGGACTCTTGGCTTCCTGGGAGCTAAGAAGGAAGAACACACATACCACATACCACTAAGAGATCAGAAAAGTCATCCTTAGGGACACAGGATAGAGAAGGATTACAACAAGCCTAGCCTGCCACTCAAAACTCACAGGTGGCACTGGACCCAGGTAAAAGGGAGTGAACAGAATGAGAGCTGTCCTCCTTGGGCCTCTGAAACTGCCTGAAAAATGTCAGATTACAGCATACAATAACACTTCCCATTTGATTAGCATCACAAGGAAAACCTGGACACTGGTAGCATGGGCCACTAGGTAAAGGCGCCTGCTACACAAACCTGGCAGCCCCAGTTGGATCTCCAGGGCCCATGTGGTAGAAGGAAAGAACCAACTTCACAAATTCGTCCTCGGTCCTCTAGACACACATAGGGGAACATGCACACCCACACCCTCATTCCCAGTAATAAATGGTACTTAATTTAAACACACAACCCGGCAGGCCTAGAGTGTGCTGGAAACACTACCCCTCCTTGGCGAACCAAGCATTTGGGACACCTCTGTGACATTTGTTAATAAAAGGCCCTGGGGCAAAGACCTCATTTCTCCTGAACAATGCCTGCCACCCTTCCCCCACTCCCCAAGAGCAGCCGCAGATCCACTTTAGAAAACACTTGCCAAGTAAACCCAGACAAGCTGCAGTCTGGATGGGGCCCCTGCAGTATTTGGCATTACCTCTGGAGTTGTAGTCCTGGCCCTGGTGAGTGACCTCCACCTTTGGTATGGCTCAGAATATCTGCTAACAGGCCAGATAGGAGTCCAGTCAATGCAGACAGAGCTGGCACCTTCACAGCAAACCCTGATGCTAAATCTACATTCACTGAGGCTTTCCACCCATGATTCATAAAGCAAATGCTGTCACCTTGGAGACTAAAACAACTCCCCCTCTAAAAAAACTGCTAAAAGAGAATTATCAGTCTCTAGCTACTGACTGGAATGTTCTGTCACTGAAATGCCCAAGTTAGGCCCCACAGCTGTCCATTAAGAGAAAGCCCCTATGGATGATGCAGATGAAGTAAAGAAAGTGCTCTTGTGGGCAGAAGCCCTCAGAATATCCAACACCAAGGCATGCATCTTAACTAGGGTGCGGGGGTGTAGCCCTCTCCTTGCAATACAGATGTACACTTGGCCCAAAGAACAACACACGAGGTTTCAGTATTAACAGGACCTCCTAAAGCCTAAGTGAGGAGCGTGGACTGTCCTGGGCCCTGAACAAGCCTCTGGGAGCTCGCTCTTGTGGGAACCATGTTCCAGTGACCTGATATGATATGATGCCAGGAATGAAATGTCTACTGCCCCATCGAAAACACTTCCCTATGGGACTGGAGAGATGGCACAGTGGTTAAAAGCACTGGATGCTCTTCCAGAGGTCCTGAGTTCAATTCCCAGCCACTACATGGTGGCTCCCAACCATCTATAGTGGGATCTGATGCCCTCATCTGGCATGCAGGTTTACATGTACAGCATTCATACACATAAAAAAAAACTTTAAGAGCTGGGCGTTGGCGCACGCCTTTAGTCCTAGCACTAGGGAGGCAGAGGCAGATGGATCTCAGTGAGTTTGAGGCCAGCCTGGTCTACAAGAGCTAGTTCCAGGACAGGCTCCAAAGCTACAGAGAAACCTTGTCTTGAAAAACAAAAACAAACAAACAAACAAAAAAACTTTAAAACAACAAAAAACATTTCTTTATGGCTAAGGATGTAGCTCAGCTGGTAGAGTATATATGTCTGGCATGCAAGAAATCCTGAATTCTCTCCTCAGTACTACATAAACCAGGCAAGGCAGTAAATGTCTGTAGTCCCAGCAGGGACAGGAAGAACAGAAACTTAAGGCTATGCCCTTTGTAACCCTCCCCACACCAATTTCTCTATGCCCTGTGAACATTTGCATCTGCATCTGTCCATATAACTATATAAATATATAACAAAACTTTATGTACTTATCTATATTTATAAGTAGATACACAGATAGTTTTCAACAACATGAGTGGAAGGTGGCAGTGTTCGTGGGCCATATCTTCCCTTATATATTCATCACAGCTTGATGAATGGATAAAACAAAAGACAGTATGTCTATATGAAGAAATATTCAGCTAGAAATATCAGAAAGCACAAGGCTGGGCATGGTGGCACACTCCTGCAATCCCAGCATTTGAGAGGTAGAGATGGGAGATTACCATGTTTGAGGCTAGCCTGATCTACACATGAATTCTATGTCATATACATAGTAAAGTCTGTCTCACAAACAACAAAACAGTACTGACAACATGGATGTGTGTATTTTTATTTATTAAAAAAAAAATTTTTTTTTTTTTTTTTTTTTTTTTTTTGAGATTAGGTCTCACTATTTATCCCTGACTGACCAGGAACTCTATGTAAACCAGGCTAACCTTGAACTCACCGAAATCTACTTCTGCCTCCCACATGCTGGGATTAAAAGCATAAATCACCATACCTATCAACTTTTTTAAAAAGTATAACCCTCTGGATGGGCATGTATATGGGGGTACCTGGTACCTGCAGAGAATAGAAGATGTTGAATGCCCTGGGCCACCTGATGGGTGCTGGGAACTGAACTTGGGTTCTCCGGAAGTACAGGAAGCATTCCTTTGTTTTGTTTTGAGACAGGGTTTCTCTGTGAAGCCCTGGCTGTCCTGGAACTCACTCTGTAGACCAGGCTGGCCTCAAACTCAAGAGATCCTCCTGCCTCTGCCTCCCGAGTGCTGGGATTAAAGGTATATGCCACCATGCCTGGCCCAGGAAGCATTCGTAACCCCATTTTTTTCTCCCCAACTAAGGTCCCACTATGTAGGCCAAGCTCCTCTGGAACTTGTTATACAGCACAGGCTGTGTTCAAACATGCAATGATCCTCTTGCCTCAGCTTTCTGAGTGCTGGGTTACAAAGGCAGGCACCACCATGCTTCCATCAATTGTCAGCACTTTATTGTCTATCCTTTGTATTATACTCAACCCAATAGAAATTAACTCATGTCTACATGGGATATCAAGAGACACAGTTCTGCCTGGCAGTGGTGGCGCACGCCTTTAATCCCAGCACTGGGGAGGCAGAAGCAGGTGGATCTCTGTGAGTTCAAGGCCAACCTGGTCTACACACACACAGAGAGAGAGAGAGAGAGAGAGAGAGAGAGAGACAGACAGACATAATCATGAGGAAAAGCAATGCCCAATGTAAATTTTAGGAGCAGGGAAAGGATAAGGATATCAGATTCTCGGTCTGAACAAAAAGCCACTAAGGTAATAAGTCTGTATGAACTATCACCACTCAGCCATCCTATAGGTAAGAAAATAGCTTGATTGGTGCAATTCAAATTCTGACTTCTGAGTATGAGAGTTAAAAGAAAGCTAAATAACCTATTGCCATGAACACAGGGCATCCCTGCCTCTAAAGGGGTGACAGAGCTTCGACCTTAACTGGGTTTACAGAAGGCAACGTCACTGAGGTCATGGAACATAAAGGAGGCAGCATCTGTGGGAGTGGCCCCACACACACCAGCCACCCCCACCCCACCACCATCCTACTGTTGAGAATGATGTTCTCTTCTGTGATATTTTGTTCATGATCTAACAAATAAAGCTTGCCTGAAGATCAGAGTGCAGAGCTAGCCACACTAGTTAGCCACAGAGGCCAGGCAGTGGTAGAACACACCTTTAATCCCAACACTTGAGAGGCCGACAGATCTATTAATTTAAGGCCACCCTGAGCTACACGAAACTGACCAGTCTAAAAGAAAAACAGAGCTCACCCAAAGGTGATCTCAGCACGTGGGACCCCACACCTTTAGTCCCAGCACCAGCGAGGAATAGAAGGTGGGAGGACACAGAGCCCAGTGCAGTCTGAGGGTTGGTGCAGACAGATGCAGTCTTGGAGATGCAGCCTGAGGACAGGATCGCCCTTTGGTCTGAGCATTGGTAGAGGTGAGAACTCTCTTAAGAGCTGGCTGCTTTGCTTCTCTGATCTTCAGCTTTAACCCCAATATCCATTTCTGGGTTTTATTACTCATGCTATACTCATCATGTGCCAGGACTCTAACACTGTCCTGAGTGTGTATCATTAGGATTCAGCATGTACCAGCAGCTCTGCATGCTATCTTCTTACCTCTCAGAGGTCTCAATGGACAGGCTGGCTTTCTCCTCCTTGTGGTCACTACCACTGCCTGACCGATGCAGGCTCCGGCGGGAGTGTTTACGTCGAGGTTGTTCCCGTTCTGGTGTGTCATCTTGGTCTACAGTCTCACTTTCCACGTAAGGGTAGGCTACCAAGTTGATGTAACCATCACTGTCTCCCTCAAAACAGACAGAAACCACACCTGTTGGGGAAAAGGCAGCTGATTAACACCAACACTAGTGTGGTCCATGTCTGTTCCACTTTCCCACAGGACACGGACAGCACCTGTTCTGACCCAACTGAGTCCACCAGAAATAACAGCCAGCAGACATCCATTTTTCAAAGACAGAACCATTTTAACCCTCAATCTGCTGCTTGCCTTTGAGAATAAATCTATAATTATTTTCTACTCTTTTACTTCTCCCTTCTGCTTTCAGTCTCTAGGTGACATCAAACAGACAATTTTAATGCTCTAGTGGTCAGGGACACGGCTCAGCAGCCAAGAGCACTTGCTGCTCTTGTAGAGCACCCTGACTCAGTTTCCAGCACCCACACGGTAGCTCACAGCTGTCTGTAACTCAAGCTCCAGGGGACATGATGCCCCCTCTTCTGTCTCCATGGGCACCAAGGATGCAGGTGGTACACGGACACACACACAGACACTCATATACATAAAACAAAAATAAAATCTTTTCCAAAGTGGGGTGGTCTTGGAGCAAGTCTTTAACCCCAGCACTCAGGAGGCACAGGCAGGTGGATCTCTGTGAATTTGAGGCTGGCCTGGTCTACAGAACAAGTTCCAGAACAGCCAGGGCTGCACAGAGAAACTGTCTTGAAAGGAAAAAAAATAATTTTTTCAAGAGATACTTTATGCAAAAATCTAACCCTCTTTCTATTCAACAGATTTAAGATGGTTCCACCTCTTGTCAATGACATCATTAGATCTGTTTTTCTTCTGCCTGACAGTGTCACCTAAAGCAACATAAACTATCTCCAAAACAGTGCTCATATAAAGTATTTCTTCCCACACTGAGCACAGTGTGTTCCTAGCTTCCCACACACAACTTCTAGCCTGGAATCTCTAAGGTGAAATGCCTTCCTGTATTTCCCTACCATATCCCATGGAATAATTTGTGTTCTCCATTTTTTAATTTTTGTTGGGTAGCCCAGGCAAACCTCAAACTCACTATGAAGTAGATGATGACCTTTAACTGTTCTTCCTGCCTCTACTTCCCAATTTCTAGGGTTACAGGTATGCTCAACCATGTCTTTTTTAACTCTCACTATGTAACCCTGGCCTCTTCCAAATCACAGATCAGAGATCCACCTGCTTCTAACTCCCAAGTACTAGTGTTAAAGGCGTGTGCTTCTACTTTTACTTTCAGTATCTTTCATTATCTGTGTTTCGCCTGCATGTCTGCAAGTGTATCACACAAAGCCAGGAAAGGGCATCAGATCCCCTAGAACTGGAGTTACAGGTGGTTGTGAGCCTTTATGTGAATAATGGCAATCAAACCTTGGTCCTTCGCACAGGAAGTACTCTTAACTGTTGAGCCATCTCTCTAGCTCTTGTTTGTTTGTCAACCAAATTAGTTTCTTCCAGATCATTACCAAAAGAGATAACACAGAAACAATTCCCAGAAATCTAATCAAGAAGTTTTTTAAAAATGAAAATCCAACAATGAATCTCTGTCTAACTTCCATATCCCACCTAGTGTCCATTTCTACATTTCTACTTTTACCTTCTTGCTGTGTACAGCCAGCTCTGTAATCTGCAAATGAGTGCTGAGATGCACTTACAAACATGTCAATGTGCGAGACCAAGAGGAGTACTCTCTCCACTCATTTCCCTCTCCAGACAAGCACTGCATCAGTTTCTGGGTCCTATTAGAAGCAAAATCCTCCCAAAAGCAAAGGAATGGATTATTTTCTCCTTACATCTTACATATTGCTCAAACTCATGCCTCAGAGGATTTCACATGCACAACCTGTCCATTTATATTATTTAACTGTCTCCCTGGCAAGCTGCCACCACTGTCAAATTGGTCAAAGCTGAGCTCCCTCCAGTCTCCAGTCTCAGGTTCTAGGAGCTCCCTCACACTCTAATCTTGACTGTGCCCAGCACTATCACACATTTCCAGAGAAGAACTGTTCTTTCTCTCAACCTCTATATTTCCCACATTCATTTATCCTTTGTGTGGCCAGAATATATCCTTCAAGGAATTCCCTAAGAAATTTCTGGGATATCAATTTTCTTAATCTTTTGTTCAATAGTTTAGCTGAAGAAACAGTTCTATGTTCATTGCAAATGCAATTTTACATTTTCCTTTCCAACTCAGGTGTATCTGTATAGGCTAAAACTCCTAGTAAAATGCTGACTAGAAATAGAGGGACATAGACAACCCTGTCTTAGTCCCTGGTATTAAGGGAGATGCTGTTTCATCACTACGCACAAAGGTAGTTGCAGATGCTTCCATCACAAGAAAGACCCTTCCTTCCATATTTATCTGTGCCTTTTGACAAGTAAATAAGCATGCACAAAAAAAAAAAAAAAAAAATACAGATTGCAAGAAGTACTGTGAAGAAACTAGACAAGATTCGGTAATTGCAAATGATAATGTCTCCAGAGCAGAGGATTTAGCACAGAGTGTCTGAGGGATGAGCAGAGCTGTGGACAAGAGGGAACACAATCCCAAGTACAAGTAAACACAGAGGTAAAAACAAACCACCACCATAAAAACCCAAGCTGGGGTAGTCTAAAAACTGCCTTAACTCTTTTTACCAACTAAAAACAGGGTTTGAAGATACAGATCAGTTGATAGAATGCTCCCTAACAGTCTCAAAAAACAAAAACCAAAGGAATAGAGATATGATTCAGTGGCAGAGTGCTTTGTTTAGCCCATTAAAGCCCTAGGTTCAAACCCCAGTAATGTAAAACAAAACAAAACAAAAAAAGGTAAGCCACGCAGTGGTGGCACATGGGAGGCAGGTGGATCTCTGCAAGTTTGAGGCCAGCCTGGTCCTCAGAGTGAGCTCTAGGACAGGCTCCAAAACTACACAGAGCAACCTGGTCTGAAGGAAAAGAAAAAGAAAAAAAGAAAAAAAAAAAAAAAGGTAAATACAGAATTGCCATGCAATCTTAAAGTATACACATCGAACTGAACAGTAGGACTTAGATCTTTTTACTTGGCAGCATTATTAACAACAGCCAAAAGATGGAAGCAACGTGTTACTAACCGGACATTTTTCAATTTTTATTTTATGGTTATACCTTCCACATAGGTGCTGGGAATTGAACCTAGGTCCTCTGAAGCAGCAGTATGTACTCTTAATCACCTAGCCATCTCTCCAGCACTCATTAAACTTTAAGAGGGCCTGTGAGATGGCTCATTGGGCAAAGGCACCCATGGCCAAGCCTGATGGCATGAGATCAATCCCTGGAACCTATGTGGCAGCAGGAGAGAGGCAATCCCTGAAAGCTGTCCTGACTCTGCATGTGTGCTATGGTACAAGAGTGCCTACACACATACACATGTTTTTCTTTTAAATCTATGGTGCTGCAAATCAAACCTAGGACCTCACTCATGTTAGGCAAGCTCTACCACTGAGCTAGCCCCCAAATGAAATTTAAACACATGCTATGAAATAGATGGACTTAAAAACATAAGTGATCCAGGCGTGCCTTTCATCCCAGCACTTGGGAGACAAGAGGTAAGCAGACCTCTGTGAATTTGAGGCCAGCCTGGTCTACAAAGTGAGTTCCAGGACAGCAAGAGCTATATAAAGAACCTTGTCTTTAAAAAAAATTACTAAAAGCAAAACCAAACATCAACAACAAAACTGACAAAATAGTAATTAATTTATACACAAAGTGCAAAGATCAGATGCTAAAGTGACCTGACTCCAACAGTCACAGGTTCTTTCTGTCCTATAGAATTAGCCCTTATCTTAAAATAGTTTTAATTGTTAAAACTTCAGGGCTCCAGAATATTTAATAAACACATTTCTCTAGCATACACAGACACAAGCACCACACCCACCACACCATACCTTTGCCAGCTGTCCAACCACTTTAAAGCCTGCAAAGTACCCCTCTATCTTCCCCAGAGACCAAGGAACTGTTCCCTTTTCCCCTAGACCTGTGGGCAAACAAGGGACTCCTTAACAATAGGCTTGTCAGTGGTTTTTCCTGCTGTGAATTTTTCTCAGCTTTACTAACAATTAATTCAATATTCATGATCTAAAAACATTCCTGATAATTTCAGTTTCAGTTTGCCTAACAAAGTTGAGATGAGAGAACTACAACCATATCGTAAGGCAATCAAAACAAGGACAAGTGAACTAAAAGCCTGTCAGTCAAAGGTTGCTAGTCTCACAAAAAGGACCACTGACTGACCTTTGTATTCAGGGGTGAATTCCTTCATTTCAGGAGGGAGAGACTCGTAGAAGCGCTGTTCCCTGGAGATGAGAGGTTTGCACACAGTGTGATCGTCGTACCGCATCATGCTGCTGTGTCCGCCCACCTGATGGATGAAGGGCTCCAGGAGGACTCCTCGGTCTCCGGCCCGACTTGCATTCTTGCCATACTGCCCCACTTCCATGGTTTGACAAACACACATTGCGTTGGGGGCCGGTTGCACAATGATGGTAGATGATGCTGCTCATGAACCACAAACAAAGAGCTAGGTTGATCCTGGCTGGTGGGAGGGAGGCCAATGGTCAGAGTCTGCTTAGCTTATTGTTCTGTCCTAGAACAACAGAAAAAGAGATAGGGAATCAAGAAAGGGAATCAAAACAGCTGGTGATCAGTTTCCCTGCTGGGTTTTGCCTGCATTCTAACCATTAAGTGCACAATTCAGATGCACCACCACTGCTATCTATCACCCATCCACAGAGCACCGGCTTTCACCATCCACACTGGACGCTGGGCCTGCTTAATATGATGTTTATTTTTCTAGGAAAGAATTCCCACATCACCCAGGATGGCCCTACACTTGCTCTTCTTGAGTTTTTTTTTTTTTTTTTTTTTTAACCTGAAGCACCAGGTCATGTAAGTTTCAAAACTTATCTGCAGGCATGAAAAGTCATTCTCTGACAGGTTGTAAAGTCATTTAAAACATTTCTTTCCCCAGAAAGGTTTCTTTGTGTAGTCCCAGCTGTCTTGAACTAGGTCTAGAAACCAGGCTAGCCTGGAACCCAGAAATCTGCCTCTACCGCCCAAGTGCTAGAATTAAAGATATACACCATCATACCTAGCTGTTTAAAACAATTTTTAATTTTTTTTTTTATTTTTGCTTTCCCCCATAGGAATTCAAGATCCTTCTATTTTAAATCTGTGGCTGCTGACTTACAGCCATGTCTGGTACCACAGCACTTCCCTTGACATGGTCCCAACCACTGGAACAGAGAGAAGTTCCTTGTATTTGAAAACCTTCCCTCTAAAGTTATTTTTCTTTCCCTTAAGACAGTTAAAATCTGGGGCTGGACTGATGGCTCAGAGGTTAAGAACACTGGCTGCTCTTCTAGAGGACTCAGGTTTAATTCCCAGTACCCACATGGCAGCTTACAACTGTTTTAACTCCAGCTCCAGGGGATCCAGCATCTTCACACAGCCCTACATGTAGGCAAAACACTAATGCACATAAAAATAAATGCCAGTCGGTGGCACATGCCTTAAATCTCAGCACTTGGGAGGCAGAGGCAGGCAGATCTCTGTGAGTTCGAGGCAAGACTGGTCTACAGAGTGAGTTTATAGGACAGACATGACTTTCGCAGAGAAACCCTGTCTTCAAAATCCAAAATAATAATAAAGTTAAAAACCTTGCCACTTCCTTAATACCAAATCTACTTTCTAAAAAGGCTTTTATTCTTTTCCATACATTACAATGACCAAAGTTCTCCTCCCCAATACCTCCTAGTCACTCTCGCAGCTCCCCTTCCCCCCCAGATTAACTCTTCCATTTTCCTTCTAAATGAAGAGCTGGTCTCCTAGGGATATCCATCGAATATGACCTAACAAGACACAGTAAGTCTAGGCACCAACCCTTGTATCAATATTGGACGAGGTGACTCAGCCCAGCAAGAGAAAAAAAAGCACAAACAAAAGAGCCCCAGGTAGGACCACACATGGAAGATAAGGCTAACAGGTAATGAAGTCGTGGTAAGAGCAGCATGCAGAGGGCTTTGGGGAGTCCTAACAGATCATACACCATGCTCTCCTTATATCCTAGAGATTAAGTCTGCCACACCAAAGAAACAATGTAGTTTGTTCAAATATTACTTCCATTTATATTAAAATAGCTGAAATCTTAAAATGGGCAGTGGAGGTGCATGCCTTTAGTGCTGGCACTCAGGAAGCAGAGGCAGGTGGATCTCTGAGACCAGCCAGGACTACACGGAGAAACTGTGTCTTATAAAACAAAACAAGATGAAATCTTGTCTGTGTATATGAATGGACTATGGTCAGCATTCCACTGTTCTGCATTGAGCTTATTATGTACCTTGAACTACAAGAGTCCATCTGTCATGTGTTTTAAAAAAACACTCTGAGCTGACATTTTAAGATAAATGCTAGGTGTGGTGTCTTACACCTGTAATTCCCACACTCTGGAGGCTGAGGTTGGAGATCAAGGTCAACATGGCCACAGTAAAATTTTGCCTCAGAAAAATCAGGAGGCTAGCCTCCACTGGGAGTTTAAAAGGCCAGTCTGTTCTTTTTAAACAAACGAAGAATATCAGTATATATTATAGGAAAAGCACAGGTTACCAAGAGGACTATAATTACCATCACGATTCTCCAGGACAGTGGTTTTCAACCTTCCTAATGCTTCAACCCTTTAATACAGCTCCTCATGTTGTGGGGACCACAACCACAAAATCCTTTTCATTATGATTTCATAATGAATTTGCTACTGTTATGAATTGTAATGTAAACATCTGATATGCATGCAGGTGGTGTCAGGTGACCCCTGTGAAAGGGTCATCTTTAAACCCCTCAACTAGGTCACAACCCACAGGTTGAGGACCACTGCTATAGGAGGTGGAAAGAAACTTTCCTTGGTACTTTTTTCTTCATCTGTCCCTAGGCACCATTGTCCTCACCTTCCAGTTTCTGTCTGCTGTGAAGTTCCCTCTTTGTCACCTACTCAGTTCTGCAGTCAAGACTCGGGCCTGTGCCCTCTTTTGCTCAACACCAGACTCACATACCCACCAGCCTATTCAAACAGGGAAGCTTACCAAGAACAAAGCAGAGCTCATCTCTCTGCTCACTGAAACTCCTATACCTGCAGTCTGACCATCTGCAACTGTTTTTACAGGTGCTCCCATCAAATCCTAACAGTTCTCCTAGTTCTCCATGAGGACTCCTACTGGATCCACCCTCAGAGCATACCAGTCTCAATGGCTTCTGATTCCCAATGTTCCAGTCATGGTACGATCAATATCTCATTTCTAACTGTTCTGACTATTGCGGCCTTCCAAATGTCTTCTTCTCAACAGCAATCCTAGTTATTACAGGGAAATAGGAGTAAGAACATGTGAGTTCTATATTGAAAATGTTGCAAATAGTGGTGGTTAGGACGCGCCTTTAATCCAGCACTCAGGAGGCAGAGGCAGGCAGATCTCTGAGTTTGAGGCCAGCCTGGTCTACAGAGTCCCAAGACATCTACGACTGTTACAAAGAGAAACCCTGTCTCAAAACAAATCAAAAAAGAAAATGCTGCAATGGCTCCTATCTCGTACAGAATAAAAGCACACTTTACTATGCCTAACCAAAGCCCGGGATAGCCATTCCCTCACCCCCATTTTTCATACCCTACACCTTTTGTACTATTATCCCATTCTAGCCATACTGGTCTCTATGCTGTTCCTCAAACGCAAGACTTATTAGCATTAGCCATTCCCTCTACCCAAAACATTCTCCCAAGCTTAACTGCCCTACTGCCTTCAAGTTTTTGAAATGGGGATCCAATACGGCTCAGCAGTTGAGTGTGTACTGTTCTTGCAAAGAACTGGAAAGTCCCACCATTCTGGACAGGTGGCTCACAACAGTCTGTCACTCCAGCTCCAGGAGGACCATTATAATACCTCTGAGCTACACTGTAACCTGATTTCATGTGCAACACACTCATACACATAAAGACAAACCTTTCTGTTTTTACATCTTTGAACTGAGCAAGATGACTCAGTGGGTGTAAAGTGCTTGCTGCACAAGCCTGATAACCTGTGTTCAATACCCAGAAATCACATGCAGGTTCAAGAAGGGAACCCACACCACAGCTGTCCTCTGACTCTCTCTCTCCTCTCTCTCCCTCTCCCTCTCCCACACGCACGCGCACGCGCGCGCTTTCTCTCCTGCTCACACTGTGGCATGTGGCCCACCCCATCACACATTGACACATAAATTTTTAAAAACTGTTTGGCATGGTGGCACAAATGGTGGTAGGGCTTTTAATCCCAACCCTGAGAGGCTAAGGTGGGAGGGTACCAAACTTGAGATTAGTCTGAGCAGTTTACCAAGACTTGTTTTTTTATTTTGTTTTCTTTTTTTTTTTTTCCTCTGTCCTTTTGTCCTTTCAAGACAGGATTTTCCAGTGTTACCCTGGCTGTCCAGAACTCGCTCAAAGTCACAGAGATCTGCCTGCCTCTGCCTCTGAGCACTGGGATTAAAGGCGTGTGCCACCAACACCTGCCTACCAAGACCTTTCTTCAAACAAAAGCTTTAAAAGGGGTTAGAGGTAGGCTGGCTGATGGCTGGCTCAGAGGATAAAGTAGCATGTATTTGAGATCCTAGTGCTCCTTACAGGGGCATAGCAAAAGATGGCAGGCAGAGAGCTTCCAGAAGAATCCTTGGAAGCTCACAGGCCACAGTGGGCCAGCTAGATGGGTGAACACACCAGCAAAGAACCTGCCTCAAAACAAGGTAGAAGGCAAGGACCAACACCAGAAATTGTACTCTAACCTCTCTAGTCTCCACACAAGCACCGAAGTATGACCACATGTACCCATACTCAACACACACAGATATCAGACACACATGACATGCACATAATTTAAGGACTGGAGGAGGCTGGGTTGCAGCTCAGTCAGCAAAGTGCCTACCTAGTATTCAAGGATCCCTGTTTACATAATCTAGGCTTAGTGGCTCTTGCCTGTAATCCCAGAACCCAGGAGGTTGAGGCAGAAGGACCAGAATTCATCTTTGTTTGCACAATAAATTCAAAGTTAACCTGAGATATATAATGTCTCTTTCATAAGATCTACCCTTACCTCACCAATTTAACTGTACCCTATCTACATTCTACTTTCCATTTAAGTGTTTTTTTTTCATTTGTTCTGGGTTGGGTGGGGAAGGGGGACTGGTGGTACTGGCATTCTGCACCCCAACCCCTTTCTCATGAATTTTATCTCCTATCTTACATATTATACACCAAAGACATCTACTGTCTATTACTTATTATAGAGCCAACTTCATGAAGGTAAGGCCCTTTGGCTATTTTGCTCATTACATATTATTCTAAGTATGCAGTTTCTGACACAGGATAGTTATGTAATAAATATAGCTAAATTAACAAACATATTTATGCACAATCATAGCCCAAAGGCTGAAAAATGATAAAATATGTGTATATTTATAAAGTATAAAAAGGTGAATTCCATAGAATAAGTACATAACAAGGTTGGGCATTGGTGGCACACACCTTTAATCCCAGCATTTTGGAGGCTGAGACAGGAGGACCTCTTTGAGTTC